ACACCCTAACACCCTAACACCCTAACACCCTAACACCCTAACACCCTAACACCCTAACACCCTAACACCCTAACACCCTAACACCCTAACACCCTAACACCCTAACACCCTAACACCCTAACACCCTAACACCCTAACACCCTAACACCCTAACACCCTAACACCCTAACACCCTAACACCCTAACACCCTAACACCCTAACACCCTAACACCCTAACACCCTAACACCCTAACACCCTAACACCCTAACACCCTAACACCCTAACACCCTAACACCCTAACACCCTAACACCCTAACACCCTAACACCCTAACACCCTAACACCTCCTAACACCCTAACACCCTAACACCCTAACACCCTAACACCCTAACACCCTAACACCCTAACACCCTAACACCCTAACACCCTAACACCCTAACACCCTAACACCCTAACACCCTAACACCCTAACACCCTAACACCCTAACACCCTAACACCCTAACACCCTAACACCCTAACACCCTAACACCCTAACACCCTAACACCCTAACACCCTAACACCCTAACACCCTAACACCCTAACACCCTAACACCCTAACACCCTAACACCCTAACACCCTAACACCCTAACACCCTAACACCCTAACACCCTAACACCCTAACACCCTAACACCCTAACACCCTAACACCCTAACACCCTAACACCCTAACACCCTAACACCCTAACACCCTAACACCCTAACACCCTAACACCCTAACACCCTAACACCCTAACACCCTAACACCCTAACACCCTAACACCCTAACACCCTAACACCCTAACACCCTAACACCCTAACACCCTAACACCCTAACACCCTAACACCCTAACACCCTAACACCCTAACACCCTAACACCCTAACACCCTAACACCCTAACACCCTAACACCCTAACACCCTAACACCCTAACACCCTAACACCCTAACACCCTAACACCCTAACACCCTAACACCCTAACACCCTAACACCCTAACACCCTAACACCCTAACACCCTAACACCCTAACACCCTAACACCCTAACACCCTAACACCCTAACACCCTAACACCCTAACACCCTAACACCCTAACACCCTAACACCCTAACACCCTAACACCCTAACACCCTAACACCCTAACACCCTAACACCCTAACACCCTAACACCCTAACACCCTAACACCCTAACACCCTAACACCCTAACACCCTAACACCCTAACACCCTAACACCCTAACACCCTAACACCCTAACACCCTAACACCCTAACACCCTAACACCCTAACACCCTAACACCCTAACACCCTAACACCCTAACACCCTAACACCCTAACACCCTAACACCCTAACACCCTAACACCCTAACACCCTAACACCCTAACACCCTAACACCCTAACACCCTAACACCCTAACACCCTAACACCCTAACACCCTAACACCCTAACACCCTAACACCCTAACACCCTAACACCCTAACACCCTAACACCCTAACACCCTAACACCCTAACACCCTAACACCCTAACACCCTAACACCCTAACACCCTAACACCCTAACACCCTAACACCCTAACACCCTAACACCCTAACACCCTAACACCCTAACACCCTAACACCCTAACACCCTAACACCCTAACACCCTAACACCCTAACACCCTAACACCCTAACACCCTAACACCCTAACACCCTAACACCCTAACACCCTAACACCCTAACACCCTAACACCCTAACACCCTAACACCCTAACACCCTAACACCCTAACACCCTAACACCCTAACACCCTAACACCCTAACACCCTAACACCCTAACACCCTAACACCCTAACACCCTAACACCCTAACACCCTAACACCCTAACACCCTAACACCCTAACACCCTAACACCCTAACACCCTAACACCCTAACACCCTAACACCCTAACACCCTAACACCCTAACACCCTAACACCCTAACACCCTAACACCCTAACACCCTAACACCCTAACACCCTAACACCCTAACACCCTAACACCCTAACACCCTAACACCCTAACACCCTAACACCCTAACACCCTAACACCCTAACACCCTAACACCCTAACACCCTAACACCCTAACACCCTAACACCCTAACACCCTAACACCCTAACACCCTAACACCCTAACACCCTAACACCCTAACACCCTAACACCCTAACACCCTAACACCCTAACACCCTAACACCCTAACACCCTAACACCCTAACACCCTAACACCCTAACACCCTAACACCCTAACACCCTAACACCCTAACACCCTAACACCCTAACACCCTAACACCCTAACACCCTAACACCCTAACACCCTAACACCCTAACACCCTAACACCCTAACACCCTAACACCCTAACACCCTAACACCCTAACACCCTAACACCCTAACACCCTAACACCCTAACACCCTAACACCCTAACACCCTAACACCCTAACACCCTAACACCCTAACACCCTAACACCCTAACACCCTAACACCCTAACACCCTAACACCCTAACACCCTAACACCCTAACACCCTAACACCCTAACACCCTAACACCCTAACACCCTAACACCCTAACACCCTAACACCCTAACACCCTAACACCCTAACACCCTAACACCCTAACACCCTAACACCCTAACACCCTAACACCCTAACACCCTAACACCCTAACACCCTAACACCCTAACACCCTAACACCCTAACACCCTAACACCCTAACACCCTAACACCCTAACACCCTAACACCCTAACACCCTAACACCCTAACACCCTAACACCCTAACACCCTAACACCCTAACACCCTAACACCCTAACACCCTAACACCCTAACACCCTAACACCCTAACACCCTAACACCCTAACACCCTAACACCCTAACACCCTAACACCCTAACACCCTAACACCCTAACACCCTAACACCCTAACACCCTAACACCCTAACACCCTAACACCCTAACACCCTAACACCCTAACACCCTAACACCCTAACACCCTAACACCCTAACACCCTAACACCCTAACACCCTAACACCCTAACACCCTAACACCCTAACACCCTAACACCCTAACACCCTAACACCCTAACACCCTAACACCCTAACACCCTAACACCCTAACACCCTAACACCCTAACACCCTAACACCCTAACACCCTAACACCCTAACACCCTAACACCCTAACACCCTAACACCCTAACACCCTAACACCCTAACACCCCTAACACCCTAACACCCCTAAACACCCTAACACCCTAACACCCTAACACCCTAACACCCTAACACCCTAACACCCTAACACCCTAACACCCTAACACCCTAACACCCTAACACCCTAACACCCTAACACCCTAACACCCTAACACCCTAACACCCTAACACCCTAACACCCTAACACCCTAACACCCTAACACCCTAACACCCTAACACCCTAACACCCTAACACCCTAACACCCTAACACCCCTAACACCCTAACACCACCCTAACACCCTAACACCCTAACACCCTAACACCCTAACACCCTAACACCCTAACACCCTAACACCCTAACACCCTAACACCCTAACACCCTAACACCCTAACACCCTAACACCCTAACACCCTAACACCCTAACACCCTAACACCCTAACACCCTAACACCCTAACACCCTAACACCCTAACACCCTAACACCCTAACACCAACCCTAACACCCTAACACCCTAACACCCTAAATATAATCACATCCTTTGCTCACAGTTCAGTAGCTCTAATATTTCAGAATTACTCAAACTTTTTCTAGTTATAACAAAATCCTAAAACAAGTTTTAAAAGAAATCAACTCTGATTCAGCAAAAATTTGCAGCTACATCGAAAAAATCAGGCAAGCACAAGAACACTCGGATATAATGTATGATCCAGCTTTAAATTTGTTAGCCTTGCAGACAAATAAAGCTGTTGAAAAAGCTAAAGCCATTTTACAGCAATATCAACTAATAATATCGGGTTATTATCTGAAATAGAAAAACAAATTGATGCAGTTATTAAGAGCTTTCTCGAAGAAAAGTCCAAAGTTATTCCATATGAAATGCATTTTGAATTGAAAAACATTTATATGAACTTTGAGAATAAAGGGGAGAAATTACAGCAAGCATTAAACGAGTATAAAGAAGCTATCAGAATTAATCCAAATAATGCATCTGCATACAATGAAATAGGAGATATCTTCTTTAAAGAAAAAAGAATAGGAGATGCAATAAAACATTACAATGATGCAATTAGAATCAATCCAAACGAAGCTCTTTATTATAGAAATAAAGGAGCTGCTCTAGATGAGTTAGGCAGAAGAGAAGAAGCTATTGAATGCTATAAAGAAGCTATTAAAGTTGATCCAAATTATACACATGCATACAATAATATAGGAATTATTTTAGAAAATGAAAAGAGATATGAATTAGCAGTACAACATTTTAACGAGGCAAATAGAATCAACCCAAACTGTGCAATTTATTATTCAAATAAAGGATATGCTCTAGATGAGTTAGGCAGGAGAAAGAAGCTATCAGATTAAATCCAAATTATGCATCTGCATACAATAGCATAGGAATTATCTTCTTTAATGAAAAGAGATATGAAGAAGCAGTACAATAAAGGTGCAATTAGAATCAGCCAAAACTCTAAAATTTATTTAAAAAATAAAGGAGATGCTCTTAGAGAGTTAGGCAGGAGAAGAGAAGCTTATAAGAAGCTATCAGAATTGATCCAAATTATGCTGATGGATACAATGGAATAGGAATTATCTTCTTTAATGAAAAGATATATGAAGAAGCCATAAAGCATTACAACGATGCAATTAGAATCAACCCAATCTCTGCACTTTATTATTCAAATAAAGGATACCTCTTCCAAATACTTCTGGAGCTGTATAGTCAGGAGTGCCTACAGTTGAGTAAGTCAGGGCTCAGTTCCTCTTATAGTCTGCTCTCCTTTCCATATACTGTTTCGCTTTGGCTTCTTGCTTAAACTTGAATACAGACTATCACTCTGGATATCACTTAATCTGCAAAGCCCAAATCAGATAATTTTATATCGCAGTCTCTAGCAATAAAGACATTATCTATCTTGGTATTTCATGGGTATAGTTCAATTTGTGCACTGACTCTACAGCTAAAACCATCTTAGCAATATAAACTTAGCCTGCTCTTGAGGAAGAATATCTCTTTTAATCAAAACAGCCATTAGATCCCCCCATTCCATTAAATTAAAATAAATATCATTAATCTCAGTCTTTCTATCTCTAAAGCAACTCTTCCAGCTCAATCCTGAACTCGTCAATTTCGTTATTCTTATTATTAATTTCTTAATCAAACTTTATCATTCGGAATTTTTTTTATTTCTTCACTTTCCAGCTCAGATCTCAGTGAAACTGAGCTTAGTCTATTTTTCAGTTCTTGCCCTCTCCAATAGTGCTTGTCTTCTAATTTTTAAATTTTTCTCTGCAAACTTAAAAATTCGCTAGCCCAGGGCATGCAGGCGTTCTTCCTATATGAGTTTCTAGCCTTTTTTTATCAAGTCTAAGCTTTTCACATTCATTTGGGAATATTCACGTTTTTAGTTGAATTTTTTCAAGCTCTCCTTAAAGGTATTAACTTTTATGGTTAATTTGAGATCTGTAGTGAAGCTGATAGTTGCTGCCCTTTGGATTTGCCTCGAGTTCTTTTATTAGTTTATTTGATTATAAAAGTAAAAATTTAGCATCGCGGTCAGAAAGGTCTCTGAATCAGTGTCAACTGGATTTGAGATGGCTCAGCCCATACTTCTTTAGGAGAAGGTCTTTGGCTTAATTCCAGTTTAAGTTTGGAGATATTTTCATTTTCATATCAGCAGCGGTTGGTCTTTCATTTAATTCTCTTTCCACATTTTGAATTTCTTGCTCCATGGCTTTCTAAAAATCACTGACCTCTACAAGCCATTTGATTCTAAAATTCTGCTTCTTACTTCAAAAAAGATTCAATCGATAATTTATTATCTAGGTGTTAAATTTCCAAATTATATTTACCCCATATTTAACTTAGGCGAATAAATTAACTGTAATATAATTATAAAATGAGTACCTTTAGATGCTGTGAGTCAAACTGCGATGGTGAAATTGAACTTTCATGCAACTGCACTTCACCGGCCACTTATTTTTGCAAAGAACACGTAGTGAACCATATCGAGCATAGCGATAATCCTCATAATATCATCAAAATTTTGGTAGAGCCTGCTGAAGGCACAAAAGAAGCAATCCTTGGTTTTCTTGAGGAAGAGAAGTCAAAACTTGAAGAAATGAGGGCTAATGCAATGGCTTCCTTTACTCAAACACTTTGCAGTTATAAAAATATCCATGAACAAGTTTTAAAAGAAATCGACTCTGATTCTGAAAAAATTGCCAGCTACATCGAAAAAATCTGGAAAGCACAAAAACTATTAAAAATGGAGAAAGATCCAGCTTTGAATTTGCTATCATTGCAGTCAAATGAAGCTGTCGAAAAAGCTAAAAAATTTTTTACAGTATCATCAAATAATATCGGGTTGTTCTGTGAAATAGGCAAACAAATTGATGCAATTATCAAGAGCTTTCTCAAAGAAAAGTCCAAAGATTTTCCAGATGAAATGTCTACAAAATTGAAAAATATTGATATGAACGATGAGAATAAAGAGGATATGTTACAGCAAGTATTAAACAAGTATAAAGAAGCTATCAAAATTGATCCAAATAATTCTGATGCATACAATAGCATAGGACTTATCTTAAGTAATGAAAATAGATATGAAGAAGCAGTAGAACATTACAACGATGCAATTAGAATCAACCCAAACAAAGCACTTTATTATTCAAATAAAGGAGCTGCTCTAGATAAGTTAGGCAGAAGAGAAGAAGCTCTGGAATGCTATAAAGAAGCTATCAGAATTGATCCAAATGATGCTTCGGCATACAATCAAATAGGAGATATCTTCTATAATGAAGAGAGATATGAAGAAGCAGTAAAACATTACAACGATGCAATTAGAATCAACCCAAACAAAGCACTTTATTATTCAAATAAAGGAGCTGCTCTTAGTTTGTTAGGTAAGAGAGAAGAAGCTCTGGAATGCTTACAAGAAGCTATCAGAATTGATCCAAATGATGCTTCTCAATACAATGGCATAGGACTTATATTCTATAATGAAAATAGATATGAAGAAGCAGTAAAACATTACAACGATGCAATTAGAATCAACCCAAACAAAGCACTTTATTATTCAAATAAAGGAACTGCTCTAGATAAGTTAGGCAGAAGAGAAGAAGCTCTGGAATGCTTACAAGAAGCTATCAGAATCGATCCAAATAATGATTCTCAATATAATGGCATAGGAGATATCTTCTATAATGAAAAGAGATATGAAGAAGCAGTAAAACATTACAACGACGCAATTAGAATCAATCCAAACTGTGCAAGTTATTATTCAAATAAAGGAGTTGCTCTAGATGAGTTAGGTAGGAAAGAAGAAGCTCTGGAATGCTATAAAGAAGCTATAAAAATCGATCCAAATGATGCTTCGGCATACAATCAAATAGGAGATATCTTCTATAATGAAAAGAGATATGAAGAAGCAGTAAAACATTACAACGATGCAATTAGAATCAATCCAAACAAAGCACTTTATTATTCAAATAAAAGAGCTGCTCTATATGAGTTAGGCAGGAGAGAAGAAGCTCTGAAATGCTATAAAGAAGTTATCAGAATCAATTCAAATAATGCATCTGCATACAATGAAATAGGAGTCATCTTCTATAATGAAAAGAGATATGAAGAAGGAGTAAAACATTACAACGATGCAATCAGAATCAACCCAAACAAAGCATTATTTTTTAAAAATAAAGGAGCTGCTCTAGATAAGTTAGGCAGGAGAGAAGAAGCTCTGGAATGCTTACAAGAAGCTATCAGAATCGATCCAAATAATGCATCTCCATACAATGAAATAGGAGTCATCTTCTATAATGAAAAGAGATATGCAGAAGCAGTAATACATTACAACGATGCAATTAGAATCAACCCAAACTGTGCACTTTATTATTCAAATAAAGGAGCTGCTCTAGATAAGTTAGGTAGGAGAGAAAAAGCTTTGGAATGCTTACAAGAAGCTATCAGAATCGATCCAAATAATGCATCTCCATACAATGAAATAGGAGTCATCTTGTATAATGAAAAGAGATATGAAGAAGCAGTAAAACATTACAACGATGCAATTAGAATCATAATTAAAATATGGCGTCTTCGTCTGGGCATGGCCTCCTGGCCATGCAGCCTCGATTCATATTTTAATTATATCCGGCTAGGTTTTACCATTCTAGAGATGGACGGAAATACTAGGTAAGCAATTCTGGTTGTGTTCAGAGCCTAGTCCTAGTCTATTCTCAGGGGTGGATTTTTCCTCGTGGGGAAGGAGGGCACGGAGTTGGAAAGGGGAAGTCCAGCAGAGTCCTTTGGACCAATCGGGCAACTCCCTAGTGTGAAACTGGGCGTTACGTCCCAGGCTATTTTTTTTCATTTTTGCCGACAGCTGAGCAGAAAATCCATTTTTTGGGGTTTTCGGAAAAGCAACCCATGTAGCAAGCAAGTAGCTCATCCATGAGCCGTCGAAGCCAGAACACTTTCCGGAGAAGCACACTGGTGATCGAAGCAGGCCATCCCAAGCGACCTGTGGGCCTGATGCTTCGAAGGCGATTGATAGTACCTGGGGTTGTCACCCCATATTGGACGTTAAACGCTATAAATTTTATAAGATAAGATAAGATGCAATTAGAATCAACCCAAGCAAAGCACTTTATTATTTAAATAAAGGAGATGCTCTAGATGAGTTAGGTAGAGGAGAAGAAGCCCTGGAATGCTTACAAGAAGCTATCAGAATCGATCTAAATGATGGTTCGGCATACAATCAATTAGGAGATATCTTCTATAATGAAAATAGATATGAAGAAGCAGTAAAACATTACAACGATGCAATTAGAATCAACCCAAACAAAGCACTTTATTATTCAAATAAAGGATATGTTCTAGATAAGTTAGGCAGAAGAGAAGAAGCTCTAGAATGCTTACAAGAAGCTATAAGAATCGATCCAAATGATGCTTCGGCATACAATGAAATAGGAGATATCTTCTATAATGAAAAGAGATATAGAGAAGCAGTAAAACATTACAACGATGCAAATAGAATCAACCCAAACTGTGCAAGTTATTATTCAAATAAAGGAGCTGCTCTAGATAAGTTAGGCAGAAGAGAAGAAGCTCTGGAATGCTATAAAGAAGCTATCAGAATTGATCCAAATGATGCTTCGGCATACAATCAAATAGGAGATATCTTTTATAATAAAAAGAGATATAAAGAAGCAGTAAAACATTACAAAGATGCAATTAGATTCAACCCAAACAAAGCACTTTATTATTCAAATAAAGGAGCTGCTCTTAGTTTGTTAGGCAAGAGAGAAGAAGCTCTGGAATGCTATAAAGAAGGTATCAGAATTGATTCAAATGATGCTTCGGCATACAACCAAATAGGAGGTATCTTCTATAATGAAAAGAGATATGAAGAAGCAGTAAAACATTACAACGATGCAATTAGAATCAATCCAAACAAAGCACTTTATTATTCAAATAAAGGAGCTGCTCTTAGAGAGTTAGGCAGGAGAGAAGAAGCTCTGGAATGCTTACAAGAAGCTATCAGAATTGATCCAAATGATGCTTATCAATGCAATAAAATAGGAGATATCTTCTATAATGAAAATAGATATGAAGAAGCAATAAAATATTTTAGCGATGCAATTAGAATCAACCCAAACTGTGCAAGTTATTATTCAAATAAAGGAGACGCTCTAGATGAGTTAGGTAGGAGAGAAGAAGCTCTGGAATGCTATAAAGAAGCTATCAGAATCGATCCAAATGATGCTGAAACATACAATAAAATAGGAGATATTTTCTATAATGAAGAGAGATATGAAGAAGCAGTAAAACATTACAACGATGCAATTAGAATCATCCCAAACTGTGCACTTTATTATTCAAATAAAGGAGCTGCTCTATATGAGTTAGGCAGGAGAGAAGAAGCTCTGGAATGCTATAAAGAAGCTATTAGAATTGATCCAAATACTGCTAATGCACACAAAGGCATAGCACTTATCTCAAAAAATGAAAAGTGCGCTTTATTATTCAAATAAAGGAGCTGCTCTAGATAAGTTAGGCAGAAGAGAAGAAGGTACGGACTGTCTTAATAAAGCAAAGATTTATAATGCTTAATCTTATCAAGCATTAAAAGATGTTTTTATGAGCATATAATAAATAGATTTTTTAAATATAACAGTAAAGCAAATTTATTACTTTTACAATACAAATTTACACTAATTAAAAGATAAAAATACGTAAAAATATGAATTAGCCTGATTCCATTTTCTCCGTATAGGTTACAAAATTGAAATTTTAAACGTTTTCTTTCCCTAACATCTCCTATTCATAAGTGGTTAGCTATTATTAAAACTGCTATTCTTATCAGAGGTTTATTTTGTACAGCCTCATCACTACTATCTTTTCTCCTACTTCTACCTTCTTGATTTTTTTGTTCAATCCAGCATAAATCGTCACCTTTATAAATTTTACAGTCATAGATGGTTTTTCAAGGTTGTTTCTCTGACTGCACTAAATTTCCAATTGTTTCATTATCTCCATGCTGTATTAGCAGCTTCTTCATTTCTTCATTCTTCAGAAAAATTGCTAATTATATATGCAATGATAATGCAGGTTTTTTCAATATCAAATATGTGCTTGCCGATCGTCTCATTCTTATTATAGATTCTATAAATCAGAGGAAGTCTTTTATCAATTTATAAATTTTGATGTTGAACAGAAAGCTTTGAGCTATGATAATAAATGCATGAGAAAATTTTTATAAATAAACCTTTGATTTTGAAGAAAATAAATAGATTTATTACAATAATTGATGAATTATAGAATTTTTATGCAATGAATGTTTTGAGAGTCAAATTGGAGAAGATTTCTAATGATTCCACCTGAAATATGTGAATCCTTTTAAATAATAATTTCTAACAATATCTTATTTATAAATGTGTAAGAACTTTTAGTGCAGCAACTCCCGTTTTTAAAATTAATATGGAAGCTCATTTTTAGAAGAGTCCTAAATTTCGCAGCAGCACCCCGTTCAAGATAGGATTTGCTTCAAAGCCTTTCTCCAGTTCTAAAATCAGAACAAAATATCATTCAATTCTTGCTCTACAAATAGTTTTTGTCTTCTAATTTTTAAATTTTTCTCTGCAAACTTAAAAACACGCTAGTCCCTGGCATGGCAGGCGTTCTATCTATATGAGATTTTAGCATTTCTTTATCTAAGCTTCTCACATTCATTTTTTTCAAGCTCTCCTTCAAGGGTATTAACTTTTAAAATAATGTATGATCTGCAGTGAAAGTGATAGTTGCTGCTTTGTTTCCTCTTTGGATTTGCTTTTTTTTAGTCATTTATTTGATTGTAAAAGTACAAATTTAGCATCGTGGTCAGAAAGGTCTCTGAATCAGGCAAAGTGTCAACTGGATTTGAGACAAATTAGCCTATGCTTCTTTAAGAGAAGGTCTTTGGCAAAAATTTCAGTTTATAAAAATTATTATGCCATTTGATTCTTGTTTGCAGATCCCCAATTTACTCGTAAAATTCTGTTTCAGTTTCTTGTCTTAAATGATTGAGCATATGTGCAATAGCAGAAAAGCAGAGAGTCACTTGGATCAAGTTCAATTGCTTAATTAAACACTCATCGCTTTATAATTTCTTTTTGTGTAAATATCTAAGCATCTACATATTTCATCGATAATGCATTTAGCTGATTAAATTAACTGTAATATAATTGTAAAATATGAGCACGATAAGATGCTATGAGCCAACGTGTGATAGTGAGGCTAAGCTTTTATGCAATTGCACTTCACCTGCGACTTATATTTGCACAAATCATATTCTGGAGCATATAGAATCTAGCGACAATCCTCATCATGTCAGCAAAATTGTTGTAGAGCCTTTTAAAGGCACAGGAGAAGCAATTCTTCACTTTCTTTCAGAAAAAAAATCAAAAATTGACAAAATTAAGGCAAATATAATCATATCCTTTACTCAAACTCTTTCTGGTTGTAACAATATCCTTAAACAACTTGTAAAAGAAATCAACTCTTATTCTTTAGAAATTGGCAGCTACGCCGAAAAAGTAAGGCAAGCACAAAAACACTCGTATATAAGGTATGATTCAGCCTTAAATTTGTTAGTCTTGCAGACAAATATAGCTGTTGAAAAAGCTAAAACAATTTTTACAGTAATATCAAATAATAATATCGGGTTATTATCTGAATTAAATAAACAAATTGATGCAGTTATTAAGAGCTTTCACGAAGAAAAGTCCAAAGTTACTCCATATGAAATCAATTTTGAATTGAAAAACATTCATACGAACTTTGAAAATAAAGAGGATACGTTGCAGCAAGTATTAAGCGAGTATAAAGAAGCTATCAGAATTGATCCAAATTATGCTGATGCATACAATGGCATAGGGGCTATCTTCTTAAATGAAAATAGATATGAAGAAGCAGTACAACAGTACAACGACGCAATTAGAATCAACCCAAGCTGTGCAACTTATTATTCAAATAAAGGAGCTGCTCTTAGGCATTTAGGCAAGAGAGAAGAAGCTCTGAAATGCTATAAAGAAGCTATCAGACTTGATCCAAATAATGCTTATACATACAACGAAATAGGATTTATCTTCTATGATGAAAAGAGATATGAAGAAGCAGTGAAGCACTACAACGATGCAATTAGAATCAACCAATACGATGCAAAATATTATTCAAATAAAGGAGCTGCTCTAGGCGAGTTAGACAGAAGAGAAGAAGCTATGGAATGCTACAAAGAAGCTATCAGAATTGATCCAAATAATGCATATGCATACAATGGCATAGGAATTATCTTCTTTAATGAAAAGAGATATGAAGAAGCAGTACAACATTGCAACGACGCAATTAGAATCAACCCAAACAATGCACTTTATTATTCAAATAAAGGAGATGCTTTATATGAATTAAGCAGAAGAGAAGAAGCTATGGAATGCTATAAAGAAGCTATCAGAATTGATCCAAATAATGCATCTGCATACAATGGCATAGGAGTTATCTTCTTTAATGAAAAGAGATACGAAGAAGCAGCACAACATTACAACGACGCAATTAGAATCAACCCAAATTCTGCAATTTATTATTCAAATATTGGAAATGCTCTTAGAGAGTTAGGTAAAAGAGAAGAAGCTATTGAATGTTATAAAGAAGCTATCAGAATTGATCCAAATTATGATAATGCAGATAATGGTATAGGACTTCTCTTCTATGATGAAAAAAGATATGAAGAAGCAGTGAAACATTACAACGATGCAATTAGAATCAACCCAAACTGTGCAGCTTATTATTCAAATAAAGGAGATGCTCTATATGAGTTAGGTAGAAGAGAAGAAGCTATGGAATGCTCACAAGAAGCTACTAGAATAGATCCAAATTATGCTCATGGACAAAAAGGGATAGAATTTCTCTTTTATAATGAAAATAGATATGAAGAAGCAGTGAAACATTACAACGATGCAATTAGAATCAACCCAAACAAAGCGCTTTATTATAAAAATAAAGGATATGCCCTTAGAGAGTTAGGCAGGAGAGAAGAAGCTCTGGAATGCTATAAAGAAGCTGTCAGAATTGATCCAAATTATGCTTATGCATACAATAGCATAGGATTTATCTTTGCAAATGAAAATAGATATGAAGAAGCAATAAAATATTATAGCAATGCAATTAGAATCAACCAAAACGAATCACTTTATTATTCAAATAAAGGAAATGCTCTTAGAGAGTTAAGCAGAAGAGGACAAGCTATGAAATGCTATAAAGAAGCTATCAGAATTGATCCAAATGATGTATCTGCGTACAATGGCTTAGGGTTTATCTTCTGAGATAAAAGGAGATATGAAAAAGCAATAAAATATTTTAACGATGCAATTAGAATCAACCCAAACTCTACACTTTATTTAAATAAAGGAGTTGCTCTAGATGAATTAGGCAGAAAAAAAGAAGCTATGAAATGCTATAAAGAAGCTATCAGAATTGATCCAAATAACTCTATAACATACAATAGAATAGGAATTATCTTAGAAAACGAAAAGAGATATGAAGAAGCAGCAAAGCATTACAACGATGCAATCAGAATCAACCCAAACTGTGCACTTTATTATTCAAAAAAAGGAAATGCTCTTATAGAGTTAGGCAGAAGAGGAGAAGCTATGGAATGCTATAAAAAAGCTATCAAAATTGATCCAAATAATTCATCTGCATACAATGATATAGGAGATATCTTCTATAATGAAAAGAGATATGAAGAAGCAGTACAACATTACAACGATTCAATTAGAATCAACCCAAACAATGCACTTTATTATTCAAATAAAGGAGTTGCTCTAGATGAATTAGGCAGAAGAAAAGAAGCTATGGAATGCTATAAAGAAACTATCAGAATTGATCCATATTATGCATATGCTTACAATTGCATAGGAAATATCTTCTTTAAAGAAAGGAGATATGAAGAAGCATTAAAACATTTTAACGATGCAATTAGAATCGACTCAAACTCTGCGGTTTATTATTCAAATAAAGGAACTGCTCTTAGATTATTAGGCAGAAGAGAAGAAGCTATGGGATGCTATAAAGAAGCTATCAGAATTGATCCAAATAATTTATCTGCATACAATGAAATAGGAGATATCTTCTGTTATGAAAATAGATATGAAGAAGCAGCGAAACATTATAACGATCCAATTAGAATCGACCCAAACGATGCAAAATATTATTCAAAAAAAGGAGCTGCTCTTAGAGATTTAGGCAGAAGAGAAGAAGCTATGGAATGCTATAAAGAAGCTATCAGAATTGATCCATATTATGCTAATGCATACAATGGCATAGGACTTCTCTTTTATAATAAAAAGAGATATGAAGAATCAATAAAATATTATAACAATGCAATTAGAATAAACCCAAACAAAACACTTTATTATTCAAATAAAGGAGTTGCTCTAGATGAATTAGGCAGAAGAAAAGAAGCTATGGAATGCTATAAAGAAACTATCAGAATTGATCCATATTATGCATATGCTTACAATTGCATAGGAAATATCTTCTTTAAAGAAAGGAGATATGAAGAAGCATTAAAACATTTTAACGATGCAATTAGAACCGACTCAAACTCTGCAATTTATTATTCAAATAAAGGAACTGCTCTTAGATTATTAGGCAGAAGAGAAGAAGCTATGGAATGCTATAAAAAAGCTATCAGAATTGATCCAAATAATGCTAATGCAGACAATAGCATAGGACTTCTCTTCTATGATGAAAAGAGATATGAAGAAGCAGTGAAATATTACAACGATGCAATTAGAATCAACCTAAACTATGCACATTTTTATGCAAATAAAGGAGATGCTCTATATGAGTTAGGCTGAACAGAGAAGCTATGGAATGCTATAAAGAAGCTATCAGAATTGATCCAAATTATTCATTTGCATACAATTGAATAGGGCTTATCTTCTTTAATGAAAATAGATATGAAGAAGCAGTGAAACATTACAACGATGCAATCAGAATCAACCCAAACTGTGCATTTTATTATTCAAATAAAGGAAATGCTCTTAGATTATTAGGCAGAACAGAAGAAGCTATTGAATACTATAAAGAAGCTATAATATATTTTGAAAATTATGCTTATGCACAAAAGACACAGAGCTCTTTCGGAAAATAAAAACACACTTTTCATACATAAGTTAGGCAGAAGAGAAAAACTATTAATGCCTTAACAAAGCAAAAATTTATAAATGCTTAATCTTATCAACATTAAAAGATGTTTTTATGAGTATATAATATATAGATTTATTAATATAACATTTAACAAAATTTATTACTTTTACATTGCAAACTTATACTAATTAAAAGGTAAAATACGTAAAATCACGAATTAGCCCGATTCCAAATTCTTCATATAGGCTACAAAATTGAAATTTAAACGTTTTCTTTCCTTTAAAGCTCTTGTTCATAAGTGATTAGCTATTACTAAAATACTTTTCTTATTAGAGATTTTATTCGTAAAGCCTCATTACTTCTATCTTTTCCCCTATTTCCTCCTACTTGATTTTTTTGTTCAATCCAACATAAATCGTCACCTTTATAAATTTTACAGTCATAGGTGGCTTTTCTGAAAATTCTTCACTAAAAATACTTTTACAGGTGTTTCTCTGACTGCACTAATTTTCAATTGTTTCATTAGCTCCATACTGCATCAGCAGCTTCTTCATTCTTCACTCAATAGAAAATTGGCTATACAATTTATATATAATTGTTTTTAAAAAAAATTAGAGATTTACCCAGAAAAAAATTATAGATCGATTGAAGCAATCAAAATTGATCCAAGTGACTATCAGATTTTCTGCTATCGCACATTGCTCAATTATATAGACAAAAAACAGACGCAGAATTTTATAATCAAATGGTTTGTAGAAATCAGTAATTTTTAGAAAGCCAATTTAAAGAAAACAAGCCACTAAACAAGAAATTCAAATTGAATTAAATGAAAGATCAGCAGCTGCTGATATGAAGAAATAATAATATCTCCAAGCTTAAACTGGAATTAAGCCAAACACCTTCTCATAAAGAAGCATGGGCTGAGTCGTCTTAAATCAAGTTGACACTGATTCAGAGGGCTTTCTGACCGCGATGCTAATTTTTTACTTTTAAAATCAAATAAACGAATAAAAGAAAGCAAAATCTAAAGAGGAAGCAAAACAGCAATTATATATTTTACTATAGCTCATACATTATTCCTAAAAGCTAATACCCTTGAAAAAAAAACTCAACTAAAAACGTGAATATTCCCGAAATAAATGTGAGAAGCTTAGACTTAATATAGAAAGGCTAGAACAATATATAGAAAAAACGCTTCCCATGCCTAGGACTAGCGATTTTTTTTATTTTATATTAAATAAATCTATATATAATGTGCTAAAAAGTACGAACTCTATTGATATATCTTTATTCTTGATAAGATTAACTAAAATAAAGTGCACTTTAACTGTCTCTTTTCATTTTCTGAGATAAATTCTTTGCAACTGTATGAAACAGGATAATTTGGATCAATTCTGATAGCTTCTTTATAGGATTCCATAGCTTCTTCTCTTCTGCCTAACTCTTTAAGAGCATATCCTTTATTATAATAATAATTTGCAGAGTTAGGGTTGATTCGAATTGCCTCGCTAAATTGTTTTACTCCTTCTTCATATCTCTTTTCATTTGTTAAGATATTTCCTATGTTATTGATTGAATTAGCATTATTTGGATCAATTCTGATAGCTTTTTCTAAATAATCAATAGCTTTTTCTATTCTGCCTAATCTATATAGAGCATATCCTTTATCATTATAATAAAGTGAACAGTTTGGGTTGATTCTAATTGCTTTGTTGTGATATTTTACTGCTTCTTCACATTTATTTTCATTTCCTAAAATAACTCCTATTCAATTGTGTGCATCAGCATCATTTGGATCAATTCTGATAGCTTCTTGCAAGCATTCCAAAGCTTTTTTTCTTCTGCTTAATAATCTAAGAGTTTGAGCAAAGGATTCGATTATATTTGCCTTAATTTTTTCAATTTTTGACTTTTCTTCTGCAAGAAACTGAAGAATTGCTTCTTTTGTGCCTTCAACAGGCTCTACAAAGATTGAGCTAAAATTATGAGGGCTGCTTGATTTATAATGCTTCAGCATATGATTTTCACAAGAATAAGTCACAGGTGAAGTGCAGTTACATAAAAGCTCAGCCTCACCGTCACACGCTGGCTCATAGCATCTTATCGTATTCATATTTTACAATTATATCACAATTAATTTATACAGCTAAGACGCATTACCGATAAAATATGTCGATCTTACAGGGTTGTAAAATAGAGTATCTAAAAAAAATGATTAATTGCATATCCTTAAACCACGGAGATATATTTGCTTATTCTACCAATAATTAATGAATGCCTCATGTGCAGATTTTAAAATGTTTACTTCGCTGACGAGTTGATTAGCTTGAAATTGACTCAAACTTTTGTGAGAAAAGACTGCAACACTTTTTGCTGAAAAGATGAGCGTGAATTATAAGCGGTCCTTTCTGAGTAATTCTTTATTTATATCTAGCTATCTATTCTTAGCTTATAAAGCATTTCTTGCCAAAATCGAAAGTTTATCACTCGAGATTTTCTCATTTACTAAACCTATGCTCTAAATATCGTTTTCATTTAACTATTTCTCATCAAAGCATTTTTTAATTATTACTAATTTATCTTATAATAAATTATCATATCTCTAAGCTATATATGGAATAAGCAGAGATGTGATCTGAACATTATCTTTTCGATCAAGCTCCTTGGTCTTCTGATATGTCTATCTCTTCTGTATAACTTCACTGGAGTTTCAGGCTTCTTACTCCCCTCTCCATGAGCAAACAAAAAATTTTGTTCGCTCAAGATGGGGGTTTAAAAATTTATATATATTTTGATATAGTAAATTTTTTTTTCAGAGTTTAAAAAAATTTGCAAAAATTATGAATCAAAAATTAATTTAATTTAGAAATTTATGTTTTAAAATGCAAGCTGTTTAAAATTAACAGTATTAGCTGATATTTCGTTGTAATAATTGTCAATTTTTTTTCATACAAAATTTTTGTTCGCTCACAGGTGGGTTTTGCGCAAAAAATAGGAATTTTTCTAATGGTTTTATTCGCTCAAGAGGGGAGTTAGGCTTTTTCTTTGGCGTTTCTTCTTCATCACTAAGATTTATTAAAATTTTGCTCCCTTCTTCATCTACAAATTCCGAATCAGACTCAAATCCCAACAAGCTGCTCGCAAATAAAGAAGAATCGTCATCAGCCTTCAAAACAGGAGACATTGGAATAATAGAAGGTCCATCTACAAACATGCTTTTTCTCAGTGCAAAAGAATTCATTAGAAACGACACTTTGCTTCTATCGTTTTCAAATCCTCCTAAAAAGTTATTAAATTGTTCATTGTCTTCATTAGTTTCTTGTACTATATGCTGGAATTTCTGTAAAGCTTGTTCTTGATTTTGAAAAACTTTTTTAAGTTCAGCAATTTGCGCTTTGAGTGCGTTAACAGTATTAGACTCACTTTTTGAGCTGTCGTTGCTTACTAGTGAAAAGTTCTGTTCTGAAGGGCTTATTGATGCATGTGTGCTTGCTGTGCGTTTTTGGGAAATTTGAAGCTGATTTATATCAAGTTAGGCTAAATATTCTTTTTATTATAGATAAAATACACCTTTTAACAGAACCAGAAGCTTCTCACATTTTTTCAGCTAAATTAAAAAACTGCTGAATAGGGACAATAAGTAAGATCTTGCAGCTTATTAATGTATATTAATAATAATGTTTTAAGTAAAATAGCATAAATCTTTTTCCATTGCTTCAATTTTTTTCTTGACAGACTCATTTTCATATAAAAATGATTCGCTTTCTTGCTCAAGTCTGAATAAGTTTTACATTTCTAGCTCCTTTTGGTGCTTGACTTTTTTCTGTTTGAGAGATTCAACGTACTCGCTGGCCTTGGAAAGTTTTTCAGAAACTTCATTCATGGCATTTTCATACTCAACAACTTCTTCTGGCTTGCTAAGCCCATAATTGTCATATAGACTACCTTCGCTGTCCCTTTTCGGTGAAGCTTCTCCGAATTTTGGGCTTTCTTCAAATTGAAGATTTTCTTCAAAGGGATTTTCGACAGCTTGAGACATTAGTTTTATGTATTAAATAAAAGATGCTTTAGATTTCCATGGATTTTATGATGGTGTGTAGATTAAATAAACTTAACAAGAATTAGCTTGGCTTTAGAACAAAAAGGAGCCAAAATCGGAAATAAATCGAGGCTTACTTTTGATTATATTTTATAAGCAATTAATAAGTGGAAATATAAAAGTGTATCTTATAAAAAATTTTATGAAGGAGAAAAATAGTCAGGGACCAGGATTTGAACCTGGGGCCGATCGTCTTGCTGGTCGAACGCTCTACCACTGAGCTACCCCTGATGCTTAATTATATGCTTTGATCTAAAATTTTATTTTCTTCATCAGAAAATATTTAAATTTAAAAAGTTTGTACATAACTCAAAAATAATAGGGCTCAAATTAGTTATTTGTTTATAAAGAAAAATGTCTTTTTGGGATTTCGCTTAAAGTCTATCTCTCGAAATTCATGAAGAAAAAAGAAAGAGATATATTTAGCATTTTGTATTACACTTGAATCGATCTTAAAGCCAGGAGATGTGCCAAGGTCCAAAGATTGGGGAGTAAGAAGTAAAATGAGATTGTTTAGATTTATATATTTAATTTATTATTCAGAACTTTTATAATTAATGTAAATAATTATCTGAAAAATATTGATTATTTAAATTAAAATGCTCGAGCTTCAAGAAATTGGGCCACAAAGAAAAATCACTGTCCCTTATATCCCAGCCCTTCTTAAACTTAAATTTAATTGCAGGATGATTTCTGTCTATTGGTAACACAGCCGCCAAGGACCCATTAGGTTTCATCCGCTTTGTGATGTCATCAGGTAAGCTAGGTCTGGTTGAGATATTCCGAAGTGAAAAAGGGATTGATACCATCTTGTTCCTCTTTCAGCCCCTAACTCCATGGGATAATCGAAGTCTTTGCTCTTCCTCTTGCGCCTCCTCCTTGCCTTAGACTTCTGTTCGACGAAGGTTGCCCACACACAGAAATCCCAAAATAAGAAGTTCTATTCAACTTTCGGCCTTTCCTTCTAGATCAAATCCAACCCTGAAAATAGTCTAGGGCTAGATTCCACACACTGCAAAAATTGCTTACCTAATAGCCCAGTCCCTTCCCGATCTCCAGGATTTTTCTCTATGCTTTTTTTTACATGAGTAAAGCCCATGCTTTTATTAGGAAAAAATCTGAAGCTTGAGCAAGATGACATCCCCATTCTTCCTGATGAACATTTAATAGAGCACGAAAATTTAACCACCTACATTTCAAAGCACCGCCTATTTAAAGCATTATTTTTATCAAACTGAAAGCTCCTCTTATTAGTCACTATCCTTGGAAACATTGTTGTAGTCTTTGACTTCTCATCCCCTATTTTTATTAAGCTCCTCATTGCATATCTAAAATCTGAAGAAAAACCATTATCTATAGGACTTTATTTATTACTTGGCTATATATTTGTCACATTAATAAATCAGCTTGTAAAAGGCCGATTTTCATGAACTAACCAATTGATAGAATTAAAGGTAAAAAGCTCATTATCAAACGTAATTTATTCAAAACTCTTAAAAGCAGCCTCAATTCCTAGTAACTTAGGAGTAAATATCCTTATGGTTGACGTCAGAAAAATCTATGAAGGTCTTAGAGATTTAAATATGTTTATTACTTGCCCTATGCAAGCTGGGATATCAATGTATATAATCTATCAACAAGTAGGAAATGCTGTATTTGCTGCCCTTGGGACTTTAATTATATGCATTGCTATGGACATGTTTATTGCTCGAAGAGTCCAGCGATTTTCTATCAGGATTATGTCACACCGAGACAAACGTATAGAAGCCAGCACACAAATGCTGACTAATATAAAAATGATTAAAGCTTGTGTATGAGAAAACGTATTTAAGACAAAAATAAACAGCATCAGGGCAAGTGAGTTAAGTATTTTACGGTTAATAAAGCTTTTTCTTGCAACTTCTAGGTTCTTTTTCTGAGTGATACCTAGTATCACAGCTGCTATTGTTTTTGTATATTATACAGTAGTTATGAAAGAAAAACTTGACCCAGAAATCGCATTCGTTACCTTAACCACGCTGCTTTTATTACAAGATTCTTTGCAGGATTTATCATGACTAGTATCTCAACTGCTAATATGTGTTGTAAGCGTCAGGAGAGTACAAAGTTTGATTGATTTGCCTGATTTAGACGAACCGAATAAAGGTGACAAAATTTTGATGAAAAATTGCACTTTTGCCTATGGGGACAAAAATATTTTGAAAAATATTAGTCTTGAGGTAAAACAAGGGGAGTTTGTGGCGGTTGTTGGAGAAGTGGGGAGCGGGAAATCGTCACTGCTGAATAGTATTATGGGAGAGTTGAAGATAAAAGAAGGATTTATTAATGTCCCTGATAATATTGCATATGCCCCGTCACTAGATTCGTGGATACAGAATGATACTTTGAAAAATAATATTTTGTTTGGAAAGCCTTACAATGAGGCTTGGTATTTAAAAGTGCTTGATGCCTGCTGCCTAATCCAAGACATAAATTCTCTGCCAAATAAAGATTTAACTGAAATTGGGGAAAGAGGGATAAATCTCAGTGGAGGCCAAAAAGCAAGAATTTGCCTTGCAAGAGCTGTTTATGCAGACAAAGACATTTATTTATTAGACGACCCTTTAAGCTCAGTAGATACTTATGTTGCAAAATATATCATGAACAAATGCTTTTTAAACGTATTATCTCAAAAAACGAGGATTTTAGTTACACACCGCCTAAATATTTTAAATAAAGTTGACCGGGTCATTTTACTTCAAAATGGTTCTATTAAAAATGACTCTTCTCCTGACAAAATTAAAATAATAGAAGAAATCAAAGAAACTAGTAGAGTTGAAATAGAAGAGCCAGCACCTCAGCAATCAAAATTAATCGAAAAAGAAGAAAAAGTCCTCGGACGAATTAACAGCCATTTATATATTGACTATTTTAAATTTTCTGGAGGCTATTTTTTTCCATTTCTTGCAGTCTTATCAATGGTACTGTGAGCTATAACTCGTATGATAGGAGACATCATATTAAAAAATTGGACCACAAACCCTGACGGAATTGATGAATATTTACCTTTATATTTACTGTTCAGAGTTGGAGGAAACATTTTTTCTTATATTCGAGCTTTATTAATGATGGCAGTTGTAGGAATCAAATCAAATTTTCGCTATTACGCTTAACGTCCACTATCAGGTAGCCAGCTGTCACAGCTATCTCTAAAACCGCTCTGGGCATTCATCCATCGCCTTGGGTAGGTGATATCCTTCTGGGAAATTCGATTCCCTAAGGTCAAGAGTCTGATAGGGACAACAACCCGGCTCTTGCTTCCCTGACATAGCTGAGAGACAATTTCACCAGGAAATATTAAATCTCATACGAGAGAGATGAATTATCCGTCGGGAGACCAGAAAATTCGAACGTCGCCATATTTTAATCAGCAGCTATAGGAAATCAGCGCGTCTAAATTTGTGCATCACAAAATGATTGAGTCTTTTATTAAAGCTCCAGTAAACCTTTTTTACGATGTAACACCAATAGGCAGGATTTTGAATAGGCTTAATAAGGATCTAAACTCTATCGATGAAAATATATCAGGCGCAATGGCTGCTGTTATAGCTCAAACCTGTCAGGTAGCTTCAATGGTGACTATAGGCTTAATATATTTCCCTATTATTACCCTATTACTGCCTTTTTTAGTATATTATTCTTTACAGATAAAAGAGCTATATTTAAGTGCGGCAAGAGAGCTAAGGAGATTTGAGGCTATTTCGAACTCTCCAATCCTTAATCATTATGCAGAAACTGTTTCAGGAATAAAAATCATCAGGACTTTTCAGCAGAACGAAAACTTTAAACAGAAAAATTATCGTCTAATTAATTCAAATTCAAGATTATTGTACTCACAAGCTGCTTGCAAATGCTGGCTTTCAGTGACTTTAGGGCTGCTAAGTTCAACTGTCCTGTGGGTGTTATTTTCACTTGTAATTATTTTTAGGTATAATGTCCCAATTGACATTGTAGGACTGTCTCTTGCGTATGTTGTGCCTTTGCCTCACAACATCTTAAGACTCGTAGGGGACTGAGCGAACTTAGAAAACCAGATTATTGCTGTAGAAAGGGCTAAACAGTACATAGATATAATTTCAGAAAATCCTAATGAAATATCATCAGACAAAAATTTACAGGACTGGCCTAGTCAGCCGTCTATTCAATTTAAAGAAGTCTATATGAAATATAGACTAAATACTCCTCTTGTTTTGCAAGGAGTAAACCTATTTATTGAAGCTGGGACAAGAGCAGGACTAGTTGGGAGGACTGGCAGCGGGAAATCATCTATAGCGCTTTCCGAGGATGGCGCGGAATGGCGCCATCCTCGGGAAAGCCAGGAAGGCATCCACACGGGAACTGGGAGTTCCACGTGTGGATGCCATTTTGACATGTGGAAGTTTGGATCCCACATGTCAAAAATGGCATCCACACGTGGAACTCCCAGTTCCCGTGTGGATGCTTAGTTGACTTTCCGAGGATGGCGCCATTCCGCGCCATCCTCGGGAAAGCGCTATATTTATTTATGCCTTTTACGCTTAGTTGAGCTTCATGCTGGGACAATTTTTATTGACGGCGTCAATATTGCTATGATTGGGCTGCACAAGCTGAGATCTGCAATAACCCTTGTCCCTCAAGACCCATTAGTATTTTCTGGGGATCTAAGAGATAACTTGGATCCCTGCAAAATAAAAAGCCATGAAGAAATACAAGAGGCGCTAAGGGAAGTGAATTTGTCAAAGTTTTCTATTGATTATGAAATAAAGTCAGACGGGTCTAATCTGTCAGCTGGTGAAAGACAGCTTATAAGCTTAGGTAGAGCAATGCTGGCCCATACAAAAATTATTTTATTTGACGAAGCGACTGCTGGGATTGATCAAGACAATGATTTAAAAATCCAAGAAGTCGTTAAAAATAAATTTAAAGGGTGCACGATACTGACTATTGCACACAGGTTAGGGACTGTTATGGAAAATGATGTGATTTGGGTCATGAAAGATGGGATTGTAGCTGAAATGGGGAGTCCCAAAGAGCTGCTTTCTAGGGATTCTTTGTTTAGGAATTTAAGAGATAATTTTAATTAATTGTAATAAATTTACCTGTCTAGTTATAATTATTTTAATTTCGTGCATGGCAATGCTCTATAAGTCTAAAAATTAATTAATAAAATTATGCTATTTGTTTTTTATGAATAAAATTGTATTTTTAATAATTTGATAAAAATAGTTTTAAAATACTTTAAGCATAATACTCAACTTTGCCTCAATAAAATAAAAATAAGTTATGCATGTGGGTGCTTAAGCTGTCAAGTTGGAAACTGGTATAATTGCATCTCAAAAAGAGAAAAAACAAAGCAAATAAAATATGCTAATAGGAGGACCTATAATATTTAGCCCGATCTAAGTTTTGATTGCTACTTAAAATGCACCAAATTATTAAGTATGTACTTCAAAAGTTTTAAGCGATTTATAACAAATTCTTAAAAACTCAAGATTTTAAACCTATTTCTTAATTATTTATGTATTTATTTATTTCAACTTAATATTAAAAAGCCATCCGTAATGAGCTAAAACACCTTTAAAAATTATATAGCCATCCTTCTGCTCACAACGACTCTCTAAAAACTGTGCTTCTCGTCTCTAAAGCTGTTCATTAAGTTATAGAATTTTACTATAATTATCTATATAAATAGCTCGGTCTTTCAAATTAAGAACGGTTCTTATAGTTATCAAGACCTTTTGATTTATCACTAACTTTTCTCCTTCATGAAATATGGATAATCTATTATTCTCATCTGATGGAGCTTCAACCATTAAACACACAAGGTGAAGGCTCTTCTCCTTACTTTCCACTAGTTTCTTCTTCCAGCCTATCCTCTATCATTTTTTTCTCCTGAGCAAAGCAAATTTTTTCAATAGGCAAGAAAAACAAATTAACCCCAGAAGATGTATACCCATTACCAGACGAACACTCGTCTCAAAACGAGACCTTAACTTCTTATTTATCTCGCTATTCATTATACAAATCACTGCTTTTTTCTAATATCAAACTTATATCCAAGGCGATTATGCTTGGGAATCTCGTTTCTCTTTTTGATTTCTCTTCACCTCTTTTTATTCAATTTTTGCTTTCTTACTTACAAACTCAAGAAAAGTTCTTGTCAATTGGAATTCTGCTGGCTATAAGTTTCACAATTGTTACCCTAACAACCCAAGTTTTAAAAGGCCAGTTTTTATGGACAAATCAGCTAGTCGAAATCAAAATAAAAAGTTCCCTATCAAATGCCATTTTTTGCAAAGTGCTAAAAGTTGCTAGAATTCCTGAAGGCACAGGAGTGAATATTCTGCAAGTCGACGTCAAAAAAGTTTGTGATGGCTTCAAAGATTTAAGCCTCTTTATATCAACCCCCTTACAGGCAGGTTTATCAATGTATTTGATATATTATCAAGTAGGAAATGCGGTATATGCAGCTTTAGCAACACTAACTATTTGCCTAAGCCTAAATACAGTCATTACGAGAGCTGTTGGGAAATTTTCAGGCAGAATTATGAGTGTAAGGGACAGACGCGTTGAAGCGACAACTCAGATGCTCGCAAGTATAAAAATGATTAAGGCTTATGTGTGGGAAAAGTTTTTTAAAAAGAAAATTGAGGATGCAAGGGTGAGGGAACTGTCACTTTTGAGGAAATTGCAGATATTGCAAGGAACTACATATTTTTTCTTTTGGATAGTCCCCAGTATAACTGCAGCTGCAGTGTTTATGTATTACACATTAGTGATGGAAAAGTCTTTGGATCCTGGAACTGCTTTTGTCACTTTATCAACCTTATTGATACTGCAGGACTCTCTGCAGGAGATTCCTTGGCTTGTGTCAGAAGTTATGATGTGCATTGTAAGCTGCAGAAGAATGCAAGGACTAATCGATTTGCCTGATTTAGAAGGACTGCCAAGCTCAGATACAGTTGATTTAAAAGAATGCACGCTTGCGTATGGAGACAAAAGTGTTTTAAATAGAATTAGCTTGAAGGTGAATAAAGGAGAATTTATTGCAGTAGTCGGAACTGTTGGGAGTGGAAAATCATCGTTATTAAATGGAATTATGGGGGAACTTAAGGTAAAGGAAGGGGTTATAAAGGTAACTGATAGTATTGCATATGCCCCGTCCTTAGATTCATGGCTGCAAAATGACTCCTTAAGAAACAATATTTTGTTTGGAAAGCCTTACAATGAGGCTTGGTATTTAAAAGTCGTTGACGCCTGCTGCCTAATCCAAGACATAAATTCTCTGCCAAATAAAGATTTAACTGAAATTGGGGAAAGAGGGATAAATCTCAGTGGAGGCCAAAAAGCAAGAATTTGCCTTGCAAGAGCTGTTTATGCAGACAAAGACATTTATTTATTAGACGACCCTTTAAGCTCAGTAGATACTTTTGTTGCAACTCACATCATGAATAAATGCTTTTTAAATGTATTATCTCAAAAAACGAGGATTTTAGTTACACACCGCCTAAACATTTTAAATAAAGTTGACCGTGTCATTGTGCTTCAAAATGGCTCGATCATAGAAAATTCATCCCCCGACTCCTTGCAGATAACCCAAGACATTGAAGACCACAAGTCTTCTGAAATCGAAGAAATGCATTCTACACATACAAAACTTATAGAAGACGAAGACAAAGAATCAGGAAAGGTCAATATAAAAATTTTGAAAGACTATTTTGGCTACTCACTCCTCTGAGTGAACAAAAGCTTTTTAATAGAATTTTTTTTTTATAAAAAATTTTGATATATAAGTGATAATTAGTATAATGAAATCTCAAGCTAATTCTGTTTAGTTTTAAACAAATTGCGTTTTGAAACATAAATTTTTATAAATTAAACTAATATTTGCTTTCCAATTTTTGCAAATTAGGATTTTTTAAAATTCGAAAAATATTTTTTTTTATATAAATTTTTTTAAAAAAAACATTAAACCCTTCTGTGAGCGAAAAAAGATTTTTTTGTTCGCTCACAGAGGGGGGAGTCAGGAGGATATTTAATGATCTCAATTGCATTTTTAGCAATGGGCCTTTGGGCGGCCACCAGAATGATAGCAGATATTATATTAAAAGAATGGAGCACTGACCCAGATGGCACAGAAACTTATCTACTTTTATATATACTATTCAGAGTTGGTGGCACTATTTTTGCTTTTATCAGAGCTGTTTTAACAATGGCAGTAGTTGGGAACAGAGCATCAAGATTCATCCACAACCAAATGATAAAATAATTCATAAATAAAATGACATTCGGTTCGCTAATTTTCTCTCCCTCAAGCAATTTTATTTATGGGGTTAGGTTTTACCTAGAGAGAACTTCTGCACAGCAACAGCGGTTTAACTCTGGGGATAACCAGAGGAACTGCTCCTCAGTGCACTCAAGAGGTTCAGGTCTTTACCTTCAGCACACCCGAGGAAGGTGACCCTAGGTAGAACACTCGGAGAAGCTGAACCGAATAAAGCGTGGCAGCAGCGAAGCCCGTCGAAGCCGTATTTGCCAGCCCTGGCGAATCAAAATGAATCTATCCAGGGGTCCATACCCGGCACGTGGACAAATATGGTGGCAACTCTGGACAAGGCTAACCCTAGTGGACGTAAAACGTATATATAACTTAAGACTAAGATAAAATCATTCATTAGAGCCCCTGTCAATTTATTCTACGACGTAACACCATTAGGCAGGATTCTAAATAGGCTTAATAAAGACCTCAACTCTATAGATGAACTGGTCCCTAGGGCTACAGCTAGCATCATTGCACAGATTTGGCAAGTTTTATCTATGGTGTTTCTGGCTTTAATATATTTCCCAATACTAATTATGATTTTACCTTTTTGGGTATATTACTCATTACAGATAAAAGACTTGTATTTAGGAGCAGCAAGAGAACTGACAAGGCTTGAAGCGATTTCGAATTCTCCGATTTTAAATAATTTTGAAGAAACCTTGTCTGGTGCCAAAATCATAAGGACTTTTAGACAGACTCAAAATTTCCATATAAAAAATTGTAGGCTTATTGACATAAATTCACGATTATTATATTCAATGTCTGCTTGCAGATGCTGACTGGTTGTAAATTTAGGGCTGCTAAGCTCAGGTGTGCTGTGCTTTATGTTTGCCTTAATTGTAGTGTTTAGGAACAATATTTCTTTAGGTGCTGTTGGGCTTTCGTTAGCTTATGTAGTACCTTTGCCGATTAATATATATTATTTAGTTATTGATTGGGCGAACTTAGAAAACCAATTGATTTCAGTTGAAAGGGCTAAAGTATATATGGGCATCACAAGTGAAAATCCGCATAAGCAAGCCACGGATAAAAACCTAGGAAACTGGCCTCAATTCCCATCAATTGAGTTTAAAAATGTCCAAATGAAATATAGATCTAACACCCCAATTATTTTAAAAGGGGTCAATTTTTCTATTGAAGCTGGAAAAAGGGTCGGATTAGTTGGCAGAACTGGCAGCGGAAAGTCTTCTATTTATTTATGTTTACTCAGACTAGTAGAAATCAGCTCAGGGTCAATTTTAATTGATGGGGTGAATATTGCAATGATTGGGCTGAATAAGTTAAGGTCTGCAATCACTCTTGTCCCTCAAGATCCTTTAGTGTTTTCAGGGGATTTAAAGGATAATTTGGATCCTTGCCAACTAAAAAGCAATGGTGAAGTAGAAAATGCACTAAAAGAAGTAAATTTGACCAGGTTTTCTATAGATTATGAAATAAAAGGAGACGGCTCAAACATATCAGCAGGCGAGAGGCAGCTTATTAGCTTAGGAAGAGCGATGCTGACTCATACAAAAATTATTTTATTTGATGAAGCCACAGCAGGGATTGACCAAAATACTGATCATCAAATCCAAGAATTAATTAAAAATAAATTCCAAGGATGCACAATCTTGACGATTGCACACAGACTAGGGACAGTAATGGAAAGCGATCAAATTATTGTGATGCAAGATGGAAAGGTATCAGAAGCTGGAAATCCTAAAGTGCTCTTATCAAAAGACTCTATATTTAAAAGCTTAAAGGATAACTTTAATTAAGCTTTTATTTATTATTTGATAATAATTATACATAATTTAATAATATTATTGGTAATATCTTTATTAAGAAAAAATTCTAATAAATCCAATTATCTTGAATTCAGATTTTATATGAAATTTCTATGGAGAATCAATTTTATCTATTTTTAAAAATATATTTAATTAAATCTATAAATAAATGGAGCTACAGCCCTTGAATCAGCCTGAACCCATACCTTATGCTTATTTCTCAACTCCACATAAAGCTCCTAGCGTTTTCTCTAGAGCCTATTTTACTTGAGTTAAGCCAGTCTTATTAATTGGTAAAAAGGCTGAAGCGTCTATAGACGATGCTTATCCTTTGCCAGATAGCATATCTATTGAAAAAGAAAACCTGACTTATTTCCTAGAAAGATACAAACTATTTTGAGCCCTTATTCTTTCTAATTGAAAACTATTACTTTTTTCTATGTTCATCGGAAATTTGTCTTCTCTCTTCAATTTCTCTGCTCCACTATTTATCAAAGTCCTTATTTCTTATATAATTAATATGGTGGTGAAAAAATATGTCCTTACCGACGACGCACCCTTTGGACGCTAAAATGCTTTATAGCCTAAATTAAGTCTCAGGCCCTTTGATTCTAACCTTAAGCATGCTGTATAGCTGCCGTATGGGTGGGTGGCTTTAGGAGTCAGTTGTTGGCTATTCCAGTCAAATTATTTGTTATCCCTTGGCTTTTGGTCACGATTTCTTTTCCTTACGGGCTCCGGAGGCCTTAGCTCTTTTTTTTCCGGGTGCCATACTTCCTCAAGGTGGCCGAGAGGAGGCTTTGGGCTAACTTTTAGCTCCATAGAGCCCCAAGACATACATCACAGAGTGGTCTTTCTAACCTGTCGAGACTTAAGAGAGACTAGCGCAGGTCCTAGTTCCTCAGTAGACCACTGCTGTCGAGGCCGTAAAAATCGTTACTACTCCTGGAGATCAGTGATCAGGAGGTTGAAAGCGTGCGGAGGCATCAAACCTGGAAGACCTTAAGACTCTTAACTTAGCTTATTTCTTACCTGCAAAGCGATGATAAGCCTATAATGACAGGGATTTTTATTATAATAGCTTTTTTAGTAGTTGCCGGATTAGATCAGTCTGTAAAAGGCTGACATATTTTCAATGATAAAGTTATTGAAATAAAAGTTAAAAATTCCTTATGTATTGTCCTAAATTGTGAGCTCCAAAGTCATGTATGGAAATGCAGCGCCAGACCAGAGGCTAAAAGAGGGAACCAGTTTACAGTAAATTAAGGAGTTGACACCCTAGAATTTGATATTTGAGCAAATTTAAGTTAATAGCTAAATATTTGCTAGCTTAGCTGCTCCTTCGGCCTTGTCTGAAGTGCTATTGGTCGAGCTTAGTTTGATCTATGGGCCTCTCTCAATCTGACATAGAGCATATATGTTAAGAGTCGCCCAATAGATATGCTAGAGAGCCTGTCTGCGACTGAGTGATAGGCTGCTACATAGCGCTTATTGTTGAGCCTGTCTATTCTTTTCCTTTACCTTCTTTAAGTGTCTATAAGGTTGACAAACAGTTGAAGGGAGAGGATATAGGGACGAAGCCTGAAGATATAGGACTGCCTAGATGGACTGTGGTCGGTGACCATGTCTGAGAACCCTGCAGCAAGAAAGGCATAGTCCAGACAAAAGAGGTTCCCATTGGGGTGAAAATATGTTGGCTGCTCTGAGGGAGGATGATCAGATCTCACTGCTTCAAGAAATTTCGCAATCTCTCGATGTCATCATTCTAGCCCTTAATATGTCTCCTGGCCTAAATAGAGCTTCTAGAGCTTCCGTGAAGGATATATAGAAATCTCTTTTTGCTTCCCTGTATGGCTCTCTGAGGTGTTTAGTGATAGAATTTTATAGTTTTAGCCAAGTAGTTAGACTCGGCAAATTGGGTGGCGAGTTAGTATTAGACGTGAACCCGAAAAGAATGCCATCCGTGTTAACAACCAGGGACTGTAGAAGCCAGCCCTTGGATGCATTTGGGTATTCCTCTGCCGCTTTCCTGCTTGCCACTTGCTTTGGATAACTACTAACAAAAGAAGATTTAATAATTAATTTTTCCTTATGTAATGTGATTTATGCCAAAGTATTAAAAGCTGCCAAACTTCCTGAAGGCTTAGGAGTCAATATATTAGAAATTGACACCGCCAAAATCTGTTGAGGATTTTTCAAGCTCAGCTTAATAATTGCATCCCCTCTCCAAATGATGGTATCTATTTATCTTATTCATCTCCAAGTAGGAGAGGCTACATACTCAGCTATAGTCTCTCTGATTTTATGTATAGGAATTGGCTATAGCGCTTTCCCGAGGATGGCGCGGAATGGCGCCATCCTCGGGAAAGTCAACTAAGCATCCACACGGGAACTGGGAGTTCCACGTGTGGATGCCATTTTTGACATGTGGGATCCAAACTTCCACATGTCAAAATGGCATCCACACGTGGAACTCCCAGTTCCCATGTGGATGCCTTCCTGGCTTTCCCGAGGATGGCGCCATTCCGCGCCATCCCCGGGGAAAGCGCTATATTTGGCTTCAGAAAATATTAAGAAATATTCAGAAAGCATAATGACTCTTAAAGACAAAAGGCTAGAAGCATCATCTCAGCTTATAGCAAATATTAAGATGATTAAAGCCTACACATGAGAAAAGTTCTTCAAAAATACCATTCGCAACATCAGGATATCTGAGCTATCCCACTTAAAAAAGTTTCATCTATTAAATGCAGCTCTATCCTTTATATTTTCAGCTACTCCTTGTATTACAGCTGCAGTCGTTTTTGTTTATTTTACACAAGTAATGGGAGAGTCTTTGACTCCAGAAAAAACTTTTGTGACTTTGACGACCTTAATAGTTCTTCAGGAGTCTCTTCATCAGTTTCCCTGTTTAATTACTGATTTAACACTTTGTATTGTCAGTATCAGAAGAGTCCAAAAGTTTCTTGATATTAATGATTTAAAAGAAATTCCAAAAGGAGATAAAATAAACCTAGATAATTGCTCATTTGGGTATGGGGATAAAATTCTGCTGAAAAATGTCAATTTAGAAATAAAACCAGGGGAGTTTATTGCAGTGATTGGGCCAGTTGGTAGTGGAAAATCATCATTTCTGAACAGCTTAATTGGAGAATTAGAGCTTCTTTCAGGAAATGCTGAAGTGAGCAGAAAAATCGCATATTCTCCCTCTTTGGAATCATGGCTACAAAATGACAGCTTAAGGAACAATATTTTGTTTGGCGAGCCATACAATGAAAAATGGTATTTCCAAGTCCTTGAAGCTTGCAGTTTAATGCAAGACATCAATTCTTTCCCCAATAAAGATTTAACAGAAATAGGTGAAAGAGGTATAAACCTAAGTGGTGGCCAAAAAGCTAGAATTTGCCTTGCAAGAGCTGCATATGCTGATAAAGAAATTTATCTTCTGGATGATCCTTTAAGCTCTGTTGATACATTTATAGCGAACCATATAATGAAAAAATGCTTTCTCTCTTTATTATCCAACAAAACAAGAATAATGGTTACTCACAATCTGAGTACTTTAAAAGAGGTAGACAGAGTCATTGTTCTGGAAAATGGAAAAATTTCTCAAATATCGAAGCCTGAGCTATTAGAAATACCAAGAGATCTTATAGAAACTCATGAGCCAGAAATCCAGCCACTTTCTTCTCCAACAAGCAAATTAATTGAAAATGAAGAAAAATTTTCTGGGAAAATCGACAAACAGCTATATTTTGACTATTTTAAGTTTTCAGGAGGATTTTCTATGCTTATTTTATCAATTTTATGCATGGCCATTTGGGTTATAACTCGTATTTCTGGAGATATAATACTGAAGGAATGAAGCAATGACTCAAAAGAAACCAGTTTATATTTGGTACTTTATTTGTCACTTAGTTTTGGAGGGGAGTTATTTATTTTTTTGAAAACAATGTTTTTATATTATTTCTTGGCTATTAGGGCTTCAGAAAATATTCATCGTTCTTTGGTTAATAAGCTTTTGAAAGCTCCAGTGAACTTATTTTATGATGTAACTCCTTCAGGGAGAATCATAAACAGGCTTAGCAAAGATATTGCGTCTATTGATGAGAAGGTCCCTTATTGTTTTGCGTGGGTGATTTCTTCTTTGTTTAGAGTTATTTGTGGAATCATAATGATCATGATTTATTTTCCTTTGCTTTTAGTGCTTCTTCCTGCTCTTATTTGGGTTTATTTTAAATTGAAAAATATTTATTTAGCTGCTGCGAGAGAGCTGACTAGGCTTGAGGCTATTTCAAGATCTCCGATATTGAATCATTTTTCAGAGACCTTATCTGGAGGTAAAATTATTACTTCCATCTTTAAATTGGAACAAGCATCAGTTAAATTTCAAATTTTTTGGTACTTTAAGACCTTTAAATTAAAAAAATTTGTTTTTCGATAGGTAAATTTTATCGATTAAAGTACTAATTTTTATAAAAATAGTTTTAACCTAATTTAATAGACAAAGTGCAAGTAGAATGTTATTTAAACAGTTCTCAAGCCGAGCCGATTAATTTTTATATTTAATCTTTTATAAAAATAAATTAAAACTTATATTTTTTTAAGATTATAAAAAACATTTATAAAGAAAAATTTAAATAATTTTTTTTCAAACAAAAAATTAATCCCCTTTAATCTTTTGTTCCAGTTAAAGGGTGGGGGTTAGAATTTTCCAAAAATCTGAGAAATTTCATAGCTTTCCTCCCTCTAAAGAGGCAAGATATTTTGCTCGCTCTAAAGAGTAATTTTTAAATTAAATTATTTATAAAAATAGGGGAAAAAAATCAAAATATTCCCAAAAAAATTCCATTTAATTTATAAATTTCTGCTATAAAAAATATTTTATATACACATTCTATATAAAACCTTTTTGCTCGTTCTTAAAAGAGGCCTTCCAAAAAATGAGAATTTAGTGGCTCTGTCCATTTTAAAATAGGGATGCAAGAAAAATGCTGATTTATTGGATATTAATGGGAGATTACTCTACTCTTTAGCAAGTATTGAAGGCTGGCTCGATGTGGTTTTAGGGTTATTAGGATCGTTTTTCATTTTTATTTTACTTATTGCCATAATTATACTTAGAAATGAAATTCCAATCGGAATTGTTGGACTTACTTTGGCTTATGCATTCACCTTACCTGCAAACATTGAATATTTTGTGTTTGATGTAGCAGAATCAGAAAACAGCATAATCAGTGTCGAAAGAATAAAGCAATACATGGCCATCCCTTATGAATTACCTAAAAACTTACCAATTGATGAGCACCTCAGATATTGGCCAGAAAATCCATCAATTGAATTTCGCAAAGTTTATATGAAATACCGGCTGAATACCCCAATAATCTTAAAAGATCTTAGCTTCAAGATCAAAGCTGGCAATAGAGTAGGGTTTGTAGGAAGAACTGGGAGTGGAAAATCATCCATTTTTCTCGCTTTACTCCGAATTGTAGAGCTAGAAAAAGGCTTAATAACAATTGGCAATGTTGACATTTCACAGATTGGGCTGAAAAAGTTGAGATCTGCAATCACTTTAGTACCTCAAGATCCATTGGTCTTTTCAGGCTCACTTAAAGAAAACTTGGATCCTCCTGGGGTAAGATCAGAACAGGAAATTAAAATTGCTTTAGACACTGTCAATTTATCAGCGTTTTCTATTGATCATCAACTCCAAAGCAATGGATCAAATTTGTCTGCAGGCGAAAAACAGTTGCTAAGCATTGGTAGAGCGATGCTTGCGCACACTAAAATAATTTTATTTGATGAAGCAACTGCAGGGATTGACTATAATACAGATTTGTATATTCAAAATTTAATTACTCCTTAATGAATAAACAAATAAATATAATTACAATATTTTGGTAAATAAGTGATAATTATTATATTGAAATATCTAGTTAATTTTGTTGAATGCTAAGTAGTTACATCATAAATCATAAATTTTATATATTAAATGAATTTTCCTTCAAAATTTTTTGCTTACGGGGATGGGAAGTTAGGAAAAAGTTTGATAGCTGCACAATATTGACTATTGCTCACAGATTAGGAACGGTTTTGGAAAATGATGTAATCATTGTTATGCAAGAGGGGATAGTCGCAGAGATGGGCGCTCCTAAAGAGCTTTTATCCAGGGATTCTTTGTTTAGAAGAATGAAAGATCGGGTAAATTAAAGTTATTCTTTATAAAAATGCTTCATTTATATATTCTTTTATTAAATTCTGGATTTCTAATAAATTCATAATCCTATAAACCTGCAGAATTATTCATAAAATTCTACGATTTTGGATGCGAAAAATGCTTTAAAAATATAAGAAAATATTTTAGTGATAAATTATAAGGCTATAATAATATGGCAAGCATTAAACGTGTTATCCCTTTGCTAAATAGAGTTCTTATACAAAAGTTGGAAGCACCTAAAACAACTGCTGGTGGGATATTCCTTCCTGATACCAAAGAACAAGATCTCACAATGGGAAAAGTTATAGCAACCGGACCTGGAGAGAAGAACATCGACGGCCAGCTTAGGAAATGTTTAGTAAACGAAGGACAAACCGTTTTGCTACCAAGTTATGGAGGACAAGTTGTCTTTGTGAACGAGGAAAAACTTTACATATACAGAGACACTGAATTGGTAGGAATCATAAACTAATTTCTTATTTTTCTTATAGAATGATCTAAATTTCAAGTATCTTATTTCAGCGCATGAAATAAACACGTCAAAGAATCCTCATATCATGCATCGCTAGATAGAATTATTCTCGAAATTTTCTATTAATAAACTTTATTAGAATAAGAGTATTAGACATATACAAAATATTTATGCAAGATTCCAAATAAAATATTTCTATATGAATATTTATACCAAAAATTATCCTGATATATGCAGACTTAAGCATACTCAAGCTGCTTCCAAATTATAAGCCTACTTAATATACTAAAATGGCAGTCCTGCTAGAAACTTCAATTGGAGATATTGTCATTGACCTATACCCTGATTTATGCCCCAAAACGTGCCTCAATTTCTTAAAGCTCTGCAAAATAAAGCACTATAACAACTCTCTTTTCTACAACATAGAAAAAAATTACACAGTAAAATGTGGGCATTTAAATCAAGATAACTCAATTTTTGGAATTTTGCAAGGCCAAGAAAAGAAATATTTTGAGGACGAAATTACTCCTGTATTAAAACATGATAGAGTAGGAATTGTATCAATGGCGAATAGAGGCCCAGATATGAGCGCTTCACATGTAATTGCTATTTAGTTCTTTATTACATTGGGATCTCAAGGCCAAGATTTAGATAGAAAGCACACGATTTTTGGAATAGTTGGCGAAGGCTTATAGAATTTTCCTTTAAATTGCCTATAAGTTATTTATAATATGAAAGGGGAAATTTATTGAGACAAGGCATAGATATTGTAGAAAATTTCAATAAAATTTATTGTGATGATGCTGGGAGACCGTATAGGGACATAAGAATTAAGCATACATATATACTAGAAGACCCTTTTCCAGATTTGCCTAATTTAATAGTCCCAAATAGCCCTGAGCCGGTCACAGAAAGTGATAGACTTTTGGACAATGAAAAAATAGATGAAAATATTGACGAAAAACAAATAGAAACCAGCATAAAAGAAAACGAGGCGAAAACTCGAGCAATTGTATTAGAAATCCTTGGAGACTTGCCTGACGCTGATATCAAGCCACCAGAAAATGTCGCTTTTGTGTGCAGGCTAAATGCCCATACGACCAGCCAAGATTTGTATGTAATTTTCAGCAGATTCGGTCCTATAAAATCTTGTGAGGTCGTAAAAGATTGAAAAACAGGTGAAAGCTTACAATATGCATTTATTGAGTATGAAAATCCAAGAGACTGTGAAGAAGCTGTACTTAAAATGGATAGGGTGAGGATTGACGAGAGGAGAATCCATGTAGATTTTTCCCAATCAGTCTCAAAACTCTGAAAAAAATACAGAAGAGGACAGTCCACAAAAGAAGGAAACCAACCATATAAAATAAAGGACACTTTACACAATGCAAGATTTAAAGAGCAGAGGCACAAAATGGTTTTTGATGACTCAGATAAAGAAATCAAAAAGAAAAAGAAAAGAGAGGAATAAATGTGCATAATTTAAATAGTTATAATAAATTCTAACTACCCAAAAGCTTATATATCCAATATCCATTATTATTTATTTTAAAAAATATATTAATTGCAATAAAAAATCCATTTTTTTTTTAAAAAATTCAATATCCCATTATAAGTTCTTATTTAGAAACATAATTATGGAAGAGCAAAGCCATATACTTGCAACAGTGCAAAAACTTCTAGGAAGAACTGGGTCAAGAGGTGGGATTACTCAAGTCCGTGTTGTCCTACATGGTGACGAAAGTGGAAGAACGCTTGTAAGAAATGTAAAAGGACCAGTCAAAGAAGGAGATATGCTTGCACTTCTGGAAAGCGAAAGAGAAGCAAGAAGATTAAAATAATTTTTATGAAATTAGATAATTATATACTTGGCTAAGCCAGTGGAGTGGTTAGGCTGAAAGGGAGTCCAGAATGCTGGAGATGATTGATGTGCAAATTTCTTGGGACTCAATGAAAAGAGGGGTTTGGATTAAAGTTCTGTGGGATAGATCTTGGGGTGCTGGGGAATTTGAAGATAGGCTCTCATGAGCTTCTGGGATTATTTCAGGGTTTTGAAGGGGTATTGGAGGATCTGGGTTTGAGTCATGAAGACTAATTTTTAGGTCTTTATCAGAAGGAATTTTGATGATTTCTAGTTCAGGCTTGTTTTCGTCTACTACCTCAATGGCATTTTCTGGGCTATTTTCGAAAGCAGGCTTACCTTCATCGATTTCTTTGTCTTTCTGTAAAACATTTTCAATAGATTTTTCTAATATAAATTCATGAAAGCTTTTATTTGTAAGATCACTTGGATTATTTTCATGAAAACTGCTTTGCAAATTTTCAGTAATTTGAGGCTCTTCGATCATTTTTTCGCCAATTTCTTCTTTATTGTCATCTGCCAATACATTTTCTATGACTTGAATACTTAATGACTGTTCCTCTATTACAGTTTCTATTGCTTTAGAGCTTTTTCTGGAAAGGACTACTTCTGTTTCTATTACATCTTGAGCTAAATTTTCTTTTTCTTTATTTTCATTTTTTTCTTTTTTCTCTATTTCGCTAATCGTAATTATATGAGCTATTGGGGTAACTTCTTTATCATTTGGATTCATAAGTTCTACATCTGATTCACCCTGAGGGTCCATTTCTGTGTCGTGAATTTCTTTTTCTTCTTCGTTTATTTTATTTTGCACAATAATAGCTTCTTCGACCTTTTCATGACTGACATTTTCAGGTTCTAATTTAACTGCTAGCTCCTTATTACTGCCTTCTCCAAAATGCGAGGTTTCTTGCACGATCAATTTTGGCTTATCTTCAGCCTTATGGCTTTCCTCTATTGTAGGCACATATATGTCAATTGAGTAAATGTCCCGAGATTGTGATTTCTCCTGAATTTCATCCTTGCTCTCTGCAATTTCTTTTTTTTCAGTGCTAATTTCAATCATATCTACCTGGATTTCTTCATTAATCTCCTGGACTGAATGCTTTTCATGCAATTCTGTTATCGGGCTCTCCATAATTTCATCTTCATCAGTTTCCTTATCTCTTTTGTCTCTGCTTTTTTCAAAGCTCAGACTATTTAATTTATTTATTTCTTCTTCAGCTATTTTCATTGCGATTTCTGCCTCATCTTCATCTGAAAAATTTTCCTCTTTTTTTTGCTTATTTTTTAAAGCTTCAATTTTTGCTTCTAATTCTATAGTGTTTTGCAATGAATTGCCCAATAAAGCCCTTTTTATTGAAATCGCCTAGCCTATTTATAGTAAAACTGCATAAGTCTTCTTGGATAAAGTTGTCCATAATATCAGGGATCACTTGTGGAGGCTCTTCTATTTCTTTTTCGCTTTCATTTGCAGAGTCTTTGTGGCTCTTATGCAAAGAATCTTCGTGATTGCTTTGTTTTTCTTCTGGCAGGTCATATCGGTTTTCTTGAATATTATAGTTTTCCTCATTTTCAGCCTCATTTGAGCTGCTTTCTTCTACATTTGGCTTAATTCCTAGAGAGCTTCTATATTTTCTCTGCCGGAAGTTTGAAACTGCGTCTTTAACTTGTTCAGGATGCTTTATTTTTACAGGCAGATCTTCGTATTTTTTCAGCTGTTCAGCTGTTTTAGCGAGTCCTCTAATTTCATCGAGTCTACTTGGAGAAGTTTGCAGCATCCTTTGGGTTTGGGCTCTTCCAGTCCCCATTATTGGACTGACACTTTTTCTGTCACCAAATGGAGATTTACTTTTATTTTTTAGAACAAGTCTGTTGGTTTTCTTGAGCTGCAAAGCTGGAACTTTTATCCTCTTGCCTTTTCCAAGGACTTTTTCAAGGACGTTTTCAAGGTTTTCTATTAATTGTGTTTCTTGAGGCAAATGCTTTTTAGCAAACGCTACAGCTTTCATATAATATGAATGAGCTTCTGTAATTCTTCTTACCTCAGGACTGGGTAGAATTTTTTCTCACTCATAGAGAGAGGTTGAATTGTATTATATTTTTTTTTTATACAATTTTGGGTAAAAGTGCTTTAATATAAAAATTGATACTTAAAATTAATAAAATTGGTATTAATTATATATCAAACAATCATATAAAAAGTTTTTGCACACGCACAGATGGGCTAATTTAATAAAAAGTAGAATTTCAATGTTTTGGTTGCTCGTCAGAAGGTTAAGATTAGGTTAGCATAAGCAGGCTTCCCAATAGTTGGACTACCTTGACTCCAGGGAAAGCGACCTACTCTGGGTGCATATACACCCAATGCAAAAGGTGCAAGGCCATTCAAAAATTCCACCCTCTTGAATTTCTAGTGAAGCTAGCCTAACCTAAGAATTAGCCATAAATTAGAACCACCCTCTATAGGGATCCCCAATAGTCCAGATAGACAAATACTACGTGAGAAGTAGCCCTTCTTGCAAGGACAGGAAAGCCTTCGGGGGAGAAACAAAACTTCCCTCTTCGGCAAGGCATTCCCAAGCCTGAAGATCTACTTCAAAAAGGGCAGTGGCCCTGCTTTCAACTTCATCATGATGGTCTGACCTGCTCCATAAGGAGTACACCTCGGAGACCAATTTCTGTCCATGAGACCACGTTATTTTCTTTCGCCAGAAGGAAAGTTAAAAATTCAAGCTCTACAGCCAAGTTATGATAAGCGACCGCCAAAATAGGAGCTCTTTCATCAATAACACTTTGCTTTTTCTCATATGCAGCTTCGAAAAGCTCGTCCTGCAGATAAATAATTGCGTGCATAGCTTGCTCTAAGGCTTGCTCATGCTTTCCAATCTGACTTAAAACTGCACACAAATTTAAATGAATATCTCCAGAAGGTTCTAGCAGTAACGCCCTTTGCAGGTATTTAAGCGAAATTCTATGTTTTCCTTGTTTTCTATAGAAGCAGGCTAAGTTATTATAAGTTACAGCTTTCATGACTGGTAGTCTTTCAGACAAAAATTCAGCCCTCCTTAAATAAGTCAAAGAGCTGTCAAATTTGTTTTGTTGCATCAAACTCATCGCATAGAGATTGCAAAATTCACAAAGGGTTTTACTGATTTCGTTACTTTCATATCCCCATAGCTCAGGTTTTTGCTCAGCAAGCTCCAATTCAAGAATTTCAATAGCTTCTAAAAATTTGCCTTCTTTTTTCAAATTTGCAAAACTTTCTTGGCTTATCATATTTAATTCTTACTCCCACAATAAAAAATAATTTTCTATTAAAAAATTTTCTGCTTAAAATAGAAAATTTAGCTGAAAAAGCTAGTTAAATTATGGAAAGGCTTTCTTAGTCATGATATTATAGAAGTCTTCAAAGGAAACCTGTCCGTCGCCGTCACTATCAGCTCTTTCAATCATTTCAAGCAGCTCTTCATCAGTCATGGTCTCTCCAAGCTCTTTGGCTACTCTTCTGAGGTTCTTAATGCTGATGGTTCCAGTTTTATCATCATCAAACAGCCTGAAAACTTTTTGAATGTCTTCTCTAGTGTCTTTGTCGCTCATCCTGGCAGTCATCATGTCAAGAAACTCGTCAAAGTCAATTGCTCCTGATCCGTCCTTGTCTAAGTCGCTAACCATTTGGTAGATGGTTTGGTTTTTGGCTTCAAAGCCGAGAGACTGCATTGCAGAGGTCAGTTCTCTTGGGTCAATTGTACCAGATCCATCGGTATCGAAGAGATCGAAAGCTTCTTTGATTTCTTCAATTTCGTCCTCAGTGAGGCCAGGGCGTTCGTATTGTTTTGGATTGAATGCGTTGGAACCTTTTGCTGGTTGTCTGCCTGCCATTTATAAATTTATTGCCTTCATTGAAAAAAGATTATCCGTTTTTGAATTAAGAATGGGAGCTAAAAAAGCTTTTTGGGATTTTTGATTATTTTGAGGGGGTAAAAAGGGAGAAAATGAAGAATTTGGCTTAAAAAGTAATGTAATGACTAAAAAAGTGTTTTTTAAAGATGATTAGAAAAAAGATTTACGGAATTTTAGGTTAGAGAAATATTTTTATCATTATGATGATATTTTTTTGGGGGCAAATTAAACTTTATTAACCCCTATGAAAGTGCAAAAAAAATATGAAATTTATTTTTATATATTTAGAAAAATCATTATAATAATTAAAAATTAGAGAAAACATTAACCCTCCTTGCAATCGACCATAAAACTTCATGGGGATGCAAGTAAAACTCGAATTTATTAAAAAATCAATATAAATTAGCTGCTATTTCATTTCACATTAATCTAAAATAAGAATTCTCAATTTACTCAATATTAAAAATCCAGAAAGCGGAAAAATCAAGACTTTGAGCTTTCATTAGCATTACTTCTAATTAAAATCTCAAAAGAACATTATAATAAAATGGTACTTCAGTGGAAAGTGATGTTTTGGAGATGGATCCCTAATAAGAGGCAAAATCTACCTAAGGTTATAGTTGGGCTCACAGCACTTTCATTAGTTACCCACTATTACAGGACGGCTCTTGGAGAATACAATACATTGGAGGGAAAAACCCATGACTACGCAACTTCAATGCTAGAAAGAAGCAAAAACATCTATGACCAAGAGGCAATGAAGATATTAGCTAAAAGAAGGCAAAAGATGATCAAAGACCAAGAAGAAGCAAAAGAATACTTCAAGACTAAAGGATATGTTCCAAGACCTACAAATGGGAATATGGTGGTCAACGATATCCTTGGCTATTAAGATAACCAATTTCAATATCGACCCTAAGAGTTAGACAATAAAAATTATCATTTTTGTTATTAGCTGAAGTGATTAGCTATAGGATTTACAGTTAATAGTGCGATAGTTGCCAAGAAATAATTATAGTTATTTCTATAGGCTATTCATAAAAAAAGGTGTAATTTTTATTTAAGATTTGTGTAATCTTTGAATTTATGGTTTGAGACTTATAATATATTAAAATGGGATTCACCGTCTAAATTTTCGTAGTCGATATCCCATAGAGTGTTGGGCAGTCAAGGAAGGGAAGGTATAGACAAGGCAATCTTAGGCCAGATAAAGCAGGAGTTCTGACCTGATCAGACCGTTTTCAATCCAGTTCCTTATGGAAAAGTGGATCTAAGTTGGAAATGGGAATATTAGCAGCATATAGAAATTGACCAATTGAGTGCATTTCCCTGCTTGATATAGGGGTTTTCCTAGATAGCCCTGTAAGGGCTGTGGATTCTGGGCGGAATCCTTTGGTTGGTAGAAATAACAAGTGAGTTGGTCCGACTAGCGTACTGAGTTGGTCGGACCAACTGAAAGATTCAACCCAGAATCCACAGCCCTTACAGGACTATCTAGAGGAAAACCCTAAACTAGACGTTTGCCCTGTTTTCAAGTTTTAATTTTTGGAAAGAGGCTACCAGAAAAATAAATTTTGATTTAGGAAACCTATGTTGATATAAAACTTCCGACTGCAGCGTGCTTATACACTTTTTCTGTAGATACTTGGCAACATCGTGAAAAGCGAACTTGTATAAAGGGAAAAGCATCACGGAAAGAGGCAGGGCTTTGTCCATTGCGATGGATCTCTTATAAAGTTAAGTAATCTTATTCTGTTCAAGACTTATATCTATGTGACTAATGCTATTCTTTTCATTATCAAAACCTGAATAAATAGACTTCTTGCAATTCGATTATTTCAAGCTTTACTTCTTGAGTTAATCTTTTGTTGCTAACTTCCCTTTCGTGAGCGATCAAAACAATATTTTTCGAAATTGTTTTTTAAATAAATTTAATTTGCAAAAATTGGAAATAAAAAAAATTTAATTAATTGTAAAATTAATTTTTTAGAATACATTTTAAAAATTAACAAAATTAGCTCGAGATTTCATTATAATAATTATCAATTATTTAACTAAAATAATGTTAGTAAATTTTGATATTAAAATATTTTTTGCTCCCCTACCCTACGGAGGGTTGCTTTTTACGCAAAAATAGGGATTTTTCTAATAGTTTTATTGGGTTACGGAGTGAGGTAAATGAAATTTCTAAATTCTTCGGAATAGCATACTCTTATAGGGAGTTCAGCATTTAATTATTTTCTTGCTTCACTTAATTGGCAGTTTTATACCTCATCATTGGCATTAATGCTAGAAAATACTCGCTTTTAACTTCTAAAATCATTTCTGTAAATATAGATTTTTTACACCTCTTCGTGAGCAATTAAAATTTTATTCGGCTGATTTTTTTTTATGACAAATTTTATTTTCGAAATTAAAAAACCCCAAAACAAAGATTGAAAAGCAAAAATTAATTTAATTTGTAAAGTTTATGCTTTATAGCCGTTTCCGGCTATAGACCGGGCTATGCCCGATCTTTGCCGAGAACGGGCTATAGAATGCAATCTATTTAAAATTCAACAGAAAAAGTTAGAGAATTCATCACTTATGTTTAAAAATATTTTTCATAAGTCAAAAAACAGGGATTTTTTTCTCGTTCACGGATAGATGGAGGAATTAGAGCTATTTTACTCTCGCAACTTTATTATTTATAAATGCACATGGACATTAATTAATAAAAGCATATACACATTTTTATAAAAAGTATTGCCAAATCAAATACATATAAGATCAATTATAATTTTCATAGCTTATATACAATTAAGATTAATTAGCTGTTTATGGTGTCCAGTACCACTACCTATTTAAAAGGGACTAGACTTGAAACTAGTGAACTCTACAGCCCTTCCACTAAAAATACTGAGCCACTTTGGGAGACCTTCCTAAACAATGACCCACAGCCAGCTGCACTTCTTACTTGGCGTGCTGTTATCGCATGCAATTGGCTCCTAAGTGTGTTACGCCTAAAGGTTACCCTCCTTATGTGTGCAAGTTATGTGAACCCTAAGTCTGCATGTACCCCTTCAATCATGTCAGGAGACTGTTGCCTCTCCCGTTGCTTACTGATACACTTGGGTAAGGATTCTTTAGAAAAACACACCTCATAATAATAAAATAAGCAACATAAAAGGAAATTTCACATACGTCGCCATCTTATTATTACTCACAACTTATATAAAAATATAATTTTAAAAATGACAATCTTTAATCACAATCAAAACATGAAGCTAGTTGAAGTAGTAATACGCTATCTCCCAAACCGTTAATCTTCTACATATTTTTCACTTTAACTTCGAAATTCTTAAAAAATAAAAAATGACTGCTGTGGGATTTGAACCCACGCCCTTTCGGACCAGCGCCTGAAGCTGGCGCCTTAGACCACTCGGCCAAACAGTCAGCTTGAAAACCTATAAAGCTTTTATTTATAAAATCAGATTAAAACACAAGATTTCTTTTATTTCAAAAATTTATTCTTTTGCCAAGAACCTGCTTATTCTTTTATTTGCCGTATCCCTCAGCTTTTCCAGCTTTCCTTTATAAGAAAAATTCATGAGTTTTTCACTCAAATTTTCTTTGGCAAAACTTGGGACTCTTTTCATTATCATAGTCATATGTTCTTTCGCCTTTGGGCTTGCCAGTGGAAAATTTTTTGGGCTTAAAATTAAATCAGTTGTCCCAAGGCAAGGATGGGTAAAATCTGCTAATTTTTTCCTTGTTAGGTTTCTCTCTGAGTAATAATTTCTCATCATTTGTACAACTTTATTAGGATAAATTGTCTGCAAATCTGTGTTTTTTATTTTTCCTGCCATTAATGTGTTTGAAGTGACAGTTACTGTAAAGCTAGAAGGTCTATCAAATAGCGCAGTTTCCTCACCTACTATAGCCCAGGAGCGATTTTTGATCGCCCTGGGCTATGATAAGGCTCAGAAACTCCCCGAGTTGGTTTTTCAACTCAAGTTGACAAACCAACTCGGGGATTTGGCAAATACCTTTTATGAGAGGCGTTTGTCAAGACCCCGAGCTGGTTTGTCAACTTGAGTTGAAAAACCAACTCGGGGAGTTTCTGAGCTTTATCATAGCCCAGGGCGATCAAAAATCGCTCCTGGGCTATATTGACCCTTTTTCTAGTCTCGCTACCATTCTCTTAATATTTCCTTCTTTAAACGTCATAACACACTCCCCTTCTAATATAACTAGCATTTTTTCAGTTAATGCTCCTTGTTTGGCTAATATAGTTCCTCTATCATAATCCTCGATTTCCAATGTATAAGCAAGCCTTTCTTTTTGTGTGCCTGGGTATTTTGATAGTCCAGGGATAAATTTGTCAATTATTTTTTTCTTCGTTTCAAGAGTATTATACATTTCATTGCTCAAATAAAGTTTAAAATATTTTTCATCAAGGGTGAGGACATAAGAATGCTCCTTTGCTACGGCTGTCAAGCTTCTGGGCCCATTTCTTAGGATTCCTCTTTCACCCAGAATTTTTCCTTTTCCAAGAACATTTTCAGGTATCATGTCATTTTTTTCTTTTGAGGAGTGATTGTACATTTGTAAAGAGCCACGCATGACAATATATAGGCAGTCACTGGGGTCGCCTTTGGTGAACAGTCTTTCGCCTTCTTTGCATTCTTTTACTTGCAAACAGCCAATTACTTGCTGTCTGATATTGATTGCAAGGTGCTCAATAAGCCTTTGGAATGGCTTAAGGTTGTATAAGAATCCGTCAATTTTGTCGATTTCTTCAGACGTTTTGCTGCTTTTGTTGATGAGCTCAATCATATTGTCAAGATATGGGTCTCTTACAGGGTCCATTTTAAGATTATTTAAGAGTCGTTAATGCACTATTTAAAAATAATGTTTAAAAATAGCATTTAGTTAATTTCAACATAATAAAAATGCAAAATTTCATATAATAATTAAAATGAGTAACGTTTCCCTTGAAAAAGCTATCGAGCTTATGACTTCACGCCACACCTCTCAGCTAAAAGACAGACATGCAGCCATGGTCCGAAGAATATGCTCAACAAAATCTCAGTATGCTGAAGGGTTTTATTATAAAGACCTCGACAAAGTCATAGAGATTATCAAACTCTTGAATAAAGGTATAGAAGAAGGCAGCAAAGAATTAGTGGAGCCTCTATGCAGACTTATCAACCACTGCAAAATCCAATTCCGAAAAGAGCAAATGAGTGATGAAACTCTTTATGTCCCAAAACTCCCAGAATTTTTAAATGTTCTTTACCCAATACTAAAGCCAGAAAGAGAGCCAATAAAAGAGCTTTTACTGTGCGTCTGCAGCTTTATCACTGATTTCGCCAAAAAAGATATAGCAACAACTGCAGAAAAAAATGCAGCTGAGAGCTCTTTGTCGAAATCCAAAAGGTCAAAGTCTTTAGACAACTGGGAAACCAACGTGCTAGCAGTGATAAAAACGAATGGGACAAAATACCTTAAAGCAATTGCAGCTACAGAGCTTCCAGAAGGCCTTGTCCATATTTTAGCAGACAATGTTACAGAAAACGAAATTGCAGCACAAACAGTGAGCGCAATGCTCGCACTTTCTATGTATGCCCCATTAGCAAGTAAAATTGGAGAGCTTGGGGTTTTAAAAGACCTTGTAGTTGTGATATGTAACCATCCAAATTTTAGAGACCCATTGGTAAATTTATGTATTGAGTGTATTTGGAATATCCTTGAACAATCAGGCGACGAATGCATAGAAACACTTGCAAGAGAAGAACTTATCATTTCACTCAGATGGTGCTTACAAAGAGTTATAAAGGAAGGCTACAAGCTGACTGATAGAAAACTGAGAAACGAGCTTATGATTTTAATTTCTGCTGTTGTGGCATGTCCAGAAACCCATGCTTTCTTTTTAAGCAGAGAAGAGTCCCCTGAATGTTTTTTGGAAGAATTAATTAAATTCAGTTCATATGATGAGCTAAATCTAGCAGTCGCAGGGACCACAAGTACGATTTCTGCGAATAAAGCAATGTGGGGGGTTGAGCCAGAAGATTTAGAGCTGAAAAAGCTGCTATGGACCTGCACGTCAAGAATAATCTCTTCCAAGCTTGATGCGGCAATTGAAGTAGTCGTCAACAGTGACTTTTTGCCAGCCCTGCTACTTTATTTAGACCCAAGCCAAAAAAACCAAGCCATTTCTCGATGGCAGCAGCCCCAGCTTAAAGAAATCCAAATGCATGCACTAAACACAATTTTCCATATTTTGCCTATTTTCCCTGAACATTTCCAGCAGCAAAATGGAAATTACTGTCTGGTCCATTTTCTGTCGTCTTATAGTGATAATGAAAGAAAGCTCGCCACGTTAAAAGCGCTGGAAGTGGCCTCACAATTTCAAGAATTCAAGACAGAGCTGGCAGAAGAAGGACTTTTTGATACTTTGCTAGACATTGTGCAGAGTGAAGCTGATTACCCGCTTTTTGCAAGAGAACTTGCCTTGTCAATCATATCAAATGCCTGCAAAAACTGCAGAGAAAACCAAAAAGAAATCAGAAGAAAAGGCTGGATTGAGCTGATTAAGGCAAACATAAAGCCGATGCCACCAATAGTGACTGGGGAGCCTGACCAATTTTTATTGGCAGTTTTGGATTGCTTGTGGCATGCGATTTTGCAAAATAAAAGATCGACTCTTCATTTTATTGATATAGAAGGAATTACTGCTTTGCTTGATTATTTAGATGAATGCTTAGAAGTCCACAGAAGAATCGCAATCAGCTGCCTATGCCATTTATTGAAAATTTCACGTGCCAAAGCTGCATTTTCAAGCTGAAACTCCAAAAAGAACATGGCAAACGCGTCGCAGTTATTAATAAGAATATACGAAGAGGAAGAAAAAAGACTTGGCGTTGCCTATGATGTAGACGGTGTTTTAAAAGACCCAAGGAGGCCACTAGCTTATTCACAATCAAATAATACCAAAGGCTTTGAAACCCTCAAAGAGACCTTAGAAGCTGCAGACCAGCAAAGTGAAGTCTCAATTCTCAGGAAAAAACAGCTTGAGTTTGCAAGAAAACGCGACCTAAGGGCTAGTATTTTTTGCTGCCTATCTTTAGCTGATGTAAACAGCGTTGATTTATTGCCAAAAGAAAAGCAAAAACTTGAAGTAATCCGCATGTATCCTGATTTTAGGAAAGGAGAACTTTTCTTAGACATTAAAAATGAACTTGAAACCTTAGGGATAAGGCCTACTCAAGACGACGGAATTTGGTTGAACCAATGCTTGGATGAAGCTTATGAGCAGGCAACAAATACAATTAAAAACCAAAGTATGATTGCCAAACAGCATAAAAATGAGGAAGAACAGTCTTTGGTGGAGTTTTATAAAACAATTATGAGGTCTGGGGCTGTTGGGGCTAAAAGCTAATATTTTAATTATTTTAAGAATTCAAATTTTATAAGAAATATAATATAAATAGCGATTTTTGTGTGGGAAAATTAGAATTTTCCCATTCTTTGTATTTTCTTTATTTCTTCACAATAGCTATTGATCTCCTGCTCTATGCAATAGCTCAGCTCTTCAGCCTCCTCTTCATTCCCGCATACTTTTTTGGCTAAATCATATGAGGTATCTCCTTGGTAAACCTCGATTGATTTTACAGAATTTCTCATTTTAATCTCTAATATCAATAATGGGCATTTATAAGGCCTTTCTGTCTCAGGCCCATTTTTTAAAATTTTTTTTGGAGTTGACGCTCTTTCTGTTGTTTGAGCTTGCTTAATAGGCGGCATAACTGGATTTAATGATAACGGTGGCACTTTATATTGCTGCTGATAAGATGGGCTTCCTAAGGTTCCATTCATAGCCCAACAGTTTTCACTCTCAAAGTCCTCGCCCAAAGTAATTTCTTTTTCTATTGATTTATTGATTTTTTCATTTCTGGTAAAACTATCTGAATCTGATTCTTGGGAAGGCTCAGTCTGAAAAATTTGTTCGTCTTCATAGCGATATTTTCTATGCAAATGGTTCTGATTTTCTATAAGGGAATAGTTATGAGCTTCTTCTTGCTTGGAAGTTCTTGAGCTGAATTGTGGGGTTATGCAATCTTCTAGGGTTATTTTTTGTATTGAATTTAGATCGAGGTTTCTTTTTTGAGGAGTTTTTGGTTTTTGGGAAGATTCACATTTAATGGGCTGTTTTTTTAATAGTAAAGTAGCTCTTACTCTCATTAATCTGAGGAGAAGCGTGATGTTTTTCTTGGCTGAAAGAGAAATCTCTACATGGATTGCTCCAGCCTCTGTCGCTAAATTTTCTGCCTCATCTGAATCAATTTGACGATGAGGTCCATACTCAAGCCCAACAAGAATAATGAAGGAATTTTCGTTTTGTATTGAGGCTTGCACTTCTGGCAGTCAGACTTCTTTAATGTTTGAAAATGTCGATTCCTCATTCAAAGAATATAGAAGTAAAATGCATTGATATTGAGATATCGAGTCAGGAATTACATCAGATTCTTCTAGGTGGAAAATTATGTGTGAATTTGTTATAGGGTCTTTTGTATTTATTTCGTATACTAATTTTCAATAAAATCAATTATTAATTAAATAGGCTTTATGATAGGGATTAATTATATTTATTAAGCATAGGTCAAGTGATGAATTTTTCTTGCAGAAATTCCTTGTAAAAACTTTTCTCTATCAATTTGTGGGTCACTTAAAACAATTCCATTTAAATGCGAATTCATAATATGAACTCTGAAAAACCTTAATTATTCATATATCAATTTTTTCTAAAATTATCTTATCTTTTGCCAGCTCTTGGAGGTGGCTGTTTTCCTCCTTTTTTAAACTGTTCAGTCATAGCTTTTTTCGCGCAAATCGGAATATGCCTATTCGCAGCATCTTCGTTAAACGATCTTCCACAATGTGGACACTTATTCCTCTGAAAAGATTTTGTGCTACTTATGAATGGCTAATTTATTCAAATTTATAATGATTTTTGGGAGAAAGCTGTCTCTAAATTTTAATATAATCATTGAGGAATTCATTATTATAATAATTAATTATATATCAAATAATTTAAAAGAAAAAATTTTCTGGGGATTTACCTATATTTTCTCTCTTTAATCAAGGGGGAATTAGTATATTGATCCTGATTTAACTCCGCAGCAGCTCTTGCCGCTTCTTCATATGCTGCACTATCATTTCCAGACCCTGCAAGCCTAGCAGCTTTCATATTCGCCCTTAGCTGCTCACTCTGCATTTTCCATTTATTATTTTTCCCACTCGCTGCTGGCTTTCTAGGTGGCGGGGCTGACTTTTTAGGAACTTCGGCAGCTTCATCTGCCGCTCTTTGCTCAGACGAATTAAATTCTTTTCTCTTGCTCATAAATACTTTTTTACAAATTCTTGAGTGCTTTTCAAAGGACTCTGGGGCGAACTTTCTCCCGCAATCAGGGCAAGAAACCCTGTCTTCCTGTCCTGGCTGCTCAGCGCCTTCGACTGATTCGAAATCATACTGAGCGAACCCTTTTGAGCTTTCTTTAGCGACGTTTTGAGGCTTTTTCATAGGTGCTCGAGGCGGTGGGGTTTCTTGATAAATCGGAGGGCGAGATATAGGCGCTTCTTGGTTGTTTGTGACTGGTTTAAAAGCTTTGCGATAGTTGGAAGCAGCTGGCTGGACTTGTTCAGGCTCTTCTCCATTCTCACGGAAATATGCAGGAGGATTTCGAGCTATTTTGTCTTTGAGGAGTCTTAAACAGTGTCTTGCTTGCATGAGCTCTTGTTCGGATACAGGCTTGCTGGAACCAAATCTTTGTCCTGACCTTTCCATCATTTTTGAATTAAATATAATTTATTGCAATATGAAAGTTACATCTTCCATATAAAATCAATATAAGGCTATATAAAGTTATCCGAAAATGCCTTTTTGAAGCCAACAAAAGACACTTTAATGAAACCTATTATAAAATAACGAGTGACACTAATTACATAAATTTATTTCCTTTTCCTCTTTTTCTTTGCTGAATCTTTGTCACTGTCTCCTTTTCTTTTCCTTGATCCATCTTCGTCTTCGTCTTTTTCGTTCAAATTTGCCAATGCTTCTGCGATGTCCTCGTCGTGCTCTTTTTTCTGTGGATTCTGAGGGTTCATTTGTTGTCGGGCTTGTGCCAGCATTCTCATGCTATTCATTAAGTTGGCCATATTCATACCTTGTGGTGGATTTCCTGGCATACCGCCTGGCATGCCTCCTGGAAATCCTCCAGGCATGCCGCCCATTTGGGGCATACTTCCCATGCCTGGTGGCATCATAGGGTTCATCCCTGGGACTGAGCCCATTCCGTACATCATTTGAGCTGCCAGCATAGGATTCATCATTAGGGCTGCCATTTGGTAAGGGTTGAAGCCAGGGACTGCTCCTTTTTGTTGGTTAGACTGGCCACCTTGTTGAGATTGAGGCTGCCCTTGCATAGCCATCATGTTTGGCTGCTGTGGCATCATCATACCAGGCTGTCCTTGCATTCCCATCATTCCAGGCATCATCATGTTTGGCCCTCCAGGCATTCCTAGCATACCTTGAAGCCCAGGGAAGTTTGGCATATTTCCTTGATTGGGGTTGTTTTGCATATTAGGGACTCCGAAGTTAGGCATTCCTCCTTGGAATTGGTGCATGTTAGGATTTTGTACGTTTTGAGGCTGTTGGTTTGATAAGTTAGGCATATTTGGCATGTTGGGCATGTTTTGCATGTTAGGCATATTGGGCATGTTTTGCATGTTGCCCATGTTAGGCATGCTTGGCATATTTGGCATGTTTTGCATATTTGGCGGCATATTCTGGACATTTTGCATGTTGGGCGGGAGTGGGAAATTAGGCATCCCTCCTGAGGAAAGATTGGACTGAGACTGATTTTGAAGGTTTTGCATTGAATTCGGCATACCTGGCATTCCTGGCATATTAGGCATCTGAGGCATGTTTGGCATACCTTGCATTGTGTTAGGCATGCCTGGCATCCCTTGCATGTTTGGCGGCATCGGGAAGTTTGGCATCCCTCCAAATGGATTCATTCCTTGTGGGAAGCCAGGAGGAGAGTTCATTTGAGGTTTTGATGGTGTTGGCATCTGCGGAGTTTTGCTTGGCTGAGGAGGTAGATTCCCCATTGGAGAAGCCATTTTTGGAGCTTGCTGGGGTACATTCTGCTGAGGTCTCTGCTGGAAAGCCATTTGAGACATTTGTTGGAACTGGGCTAAAGAAGAAAGTTGTGCTTGAGGAGCAGCCACAGGTGCTAAAACTTGAGGAGAAGGCTGAGGTTGAGGCTGTGGTGGTTTTGGCTTTTGTGGCTGAGGAGCTTGCACAGGTGCTGACTGAGGAGTTGGTTTCTTATTCTGCATCTCATCCCTTCTTCTCGTTCTCGGGCCTTCTGTTCTTCTCAGACTTTCAGCTGGCACTTCTTCAGACTCTGAGTTATCATCACTTTTAATGGATGCGTCCTCATCTTCGTCTTCTTCCTCTTCTTCACTTTCTTCACTTTCTTCTTCCTCTCCTTCTTCTTCTCCTTCTTCCTCTTCAGGCTTCTCATTTTTGACTTCTGCTTCTTCTTGTGTAGGACTGCCTTCATCTTGTTCAGCGTCTTGGAATTTCTCTTCTTCAGCTTCTCCGTCCCTTCTGAAATTTTTGATGTCTGGGAGCGTTTTGATAGGCTTGGAAGCTTTGTCGTTCTTTTTAATTGAGAAAGGAATGTCACTTACTTCAAAGGCGGGGTGGATGAAATCGGGGATTGGGGAAGTTTCGTCACCAGCTTGGAGCTTGGTTTTCCTGTCAATAGCTTTTTTATTTGTGCTGTCTAGACTAAAAGCTCGCTGATAGGCCAAGCTTGCCTCTTGCTTTTGTTTGCAGTGCTCATAGAGGACTGCCATGTTGAACCAGACATCTCCGCATTCAGGGGAAATGTTTGATGCTTTTACAAAGCACTCGAAGGCGTCTTGTGGCTGGGTCGCTAAGGCGTATAAAATCCCAATGCTGCACCAGTAGATGTAGGCGTTTGGATTTTTATAAATGGCCTTTTGGAAAGCGGACTGGCCTTCTGGGTAGTTTTTGAGGTCCAAATAGCACCTCCCAATCAAGTAGTGGATATCCCCTGCCTCTGCACAGTTTTCTTTGACGAACTCAAGAGCCCGATTCAGAATCTCCAAGGCCTGGTCGTGGTCTGAATGGATCATCAGTGCCCAGCCCAAGTACTCCATCGTCTTGAAATTATTTTCATCCAAAGTGAGCGCCTCCCTATAAATGCTGATTGCCTCGTCCATTTTCTCCTGTTTTTCATAGGAATTCCCTATGTGGCACAAGGCATCAACTTTTCGTGAAATTGGGACATTTTCACAGGCCATGGAATTTCTGAGATATGTGATAGCATTATCAAAGGATTTGGTCTTCTTATAGATCAGACCCAACTTGTAGAGGACTTCGTGCTTTTGCTCAAAGTTGGGGTCGATCCTTAAAACTGCTTGGTAAGCGGGCTCGGCGTACTCGTAACTTTCGAATTTATTGTAAAGTAAGCCAATTCCATACCACAACTGAGGATCGCGGTTGTCTTCCATAGTATACAAGGCTTTCTGGTAGGCAGTGAAACATTTCTGGTACTCACCTTTGAGAAGGTAACAATGGCCGAGGGCGGTCCAGGCCTTACCGTTCTCTTCGTCTACCCTGACAATTTTTTCGTAGTGCTGGCATGCTGATGCATAGTCCCCTTGACTTGCAAAATATTGAGCCAGCTCACTGAGGGCGCGGATATTGAAAGGGTTTTCTTCAAGTTCTTTTTCGAGCTCTTGTACTTGAGCTTCGTTGAGGGAAAGATTATCCATCATTTGAGAATTATTAACCATATTTAGAATTCACTATGCGCCATTCGTTTGCCGATTAAAATTCATCTTTACTCTAATAATTTTAAATGGACCAGCACTTGTTCAGATAAAAGTTATTAGATTTATTAAATTTTTAGGTTTTTATGCGTTAATATTTTAATTTGACATATCTGATGGATTGTTTTTTTAATTCTATTTTGAAGAGAAAATAGCTGTGAGAGCTTGAAATCAAAATTAGGATAAGATTTTGTAATTATAAAGGGCTCAATTATTACTTAAGTAATTTAATAGATAAAGAAAAATATAAGCAAATGTATTATCTGGTTTATAAAAAATAATTTTTCGGATCTAAATAAATTCTTTGATGGTTAATTAAATTATTGTATGCATTTCTTAATGCTATTTGTGAAGAAATCGTGAAAATAAAAGCCATAAAATGAAATTCGAAAATTTGTAAAATAAGCATTTTCTGAGATTAAGAATAAGACGGAAAGAATTAAAGTAACAGCTTATAGCTTAGATAAAGTAGAGGTTTTTACTTACAGATTCTATAACCGACTGTTGAAAAAAAAACTTTCAAAATTCTAAGCCATTTTATCGATATAATCTTCTAAAATACTTATATGAATTTTTCATTGTTATAATAAAAATTCAGAATTCATTTAAGCAATAGCCATTTAGCTTTATTCCAACGAAAAATTTAACTATTCTTAAATCACCGAGAAGTAAGCTTGCGCATATAGATTTTACATTTAATCAGTTTAAGATAGAAATTTATTTTTACTCTCCTCTAACAAAACTTTGTGACCTTCCTCTATCTCCAATATATTTTTTATACAATTTTGTAACACTAGACGGTTCTTTTCTTGGTCCTTCAGAAATATTCATTTTTTCTATCAGTTTATCTCTTGCGTCTTCAAACTCTTTCATAGCCTTGCTTGTAGATTTCAGCTCTGAATGGGTTTTCCTATGAGCATCTTCCCTAATTTTCTTAGGGGTTGGAGTTTTTGAGTATATAGCAGCTTTTAGCGTGTCATTTTCTTTCCCAAAATCTCCTAGTCTATCCACAAGCCAGTTATTATCTGTGCTTAGCTTGCCAATTAAATAGCCTAAATAGTCAATTTCTACAAGCACATCGGTAAACTCACAAACTCCATAATAGGAGAATTTTTCATATATATTTTCTCTTCTATTTGCCTGCTCTTCATCACTGCGTCCATATTTTCAATAAATCCCATGAGAGATTTCACCTATAGTCCGGATCATAGTTTTTAATTCTTCTTCTGACCGAATGTGATTGTCTAAGCTTTCTCTGAGCGCTTGAATAGTTTTGGCATCTTCTTCTGCAATTGATTCAAGCTTATGCAGGAGCTCTTCTTCGCGGATTTTTTGCTTATTTTTTAGTGCGTTTATTTCTGATTGATAGGCACTGTCGTTGTCTTTGATTTCGTGGGTACATTTTTGTGTTAAGGTTTCGATTTCCTTGGAATATGAGTAATTGATTCGATTGATTTCTTCCATTAACGAAAATTTCACACTGTCGTATTGCTGTTGAAGCTGCTCAGCTTTTTCTTTATATTGGTCTCGTTCTTGCATTAGTTTTTCAATATCTTTTATGTGCGATTTTCTTGCTTCTTCTAAGTAATTTTGTCTTGTGCTATATGCTTCTTCTCTTAATTGTTTGATTTTAACCTCATATTCTTCCTTAGTTTGGTTATATTTCAATGCTAGCAGGTTAAACTTATTTTCGAAGTCTTCTCTATCAGAGTTCTCTCTTTTCGATAATTTTTTAATACTATCTTCATATCCAGAAATAGTAGCTACCTGTTTCGCAAATAGATTTCGTACATCATCCATAATAATAAACGATTGTCTACTTTTTTCATTAAATTGCTGCTTTAAAGCCTCAAAACTTGACTCTTCTTCGCTCTCAATGATTTGGTATTTTTGTAACGAAGAGCTTCCTAAGTCAAAAACCCTCAAAGTTTGGTCATATTGGTTCGATCCCAGGCTTGATTTTAACGGACTTTGGCTTCTGGGCCTATTCGATCTTTCTGCAATCAACCCTGCTTGCAGATTTAGTTTATCTTGGTAATACATCACATCTTCTACTAATTTTTTATATTTCGAGATTAGTAAATAGCTTTTGTCAATTCGGGACTCTAGCTCAATTTTTATTGAGTCAAAAGATTTTGTGTTTCTATCAGGAATTGGACTTTTGGAGCGACTTTTAGCATGAGCATCTCGCTGGAGCTTTCAAATGTGGGAAGATGAGGACGAAATTCCTAGTTTTTGGAAATATTTGCTGCGCATTGTGTCGTATTTTGTGACGATTTCTGTTGGGAGGGGAAATGAAAACAAAAGCTCTTTTTAGGATTTACCTTCAGCTACTTGAAGAAGGGATTGGATGCCTTCTATTTCTGAGGGTCCTTGAGATTTAAGGTTTTCAAGGCTGGACATTTTAATAAGTTTCATTAAAAATTGGTCGTTATTCATCAAATAATTGTTTTATCAAAAAGAAGCAGCTAATCTTAGGTAATAATGAAAATTATCATAGCCATATATAAAAAATTTTAAAAGAGAACCTAAATTTGCAATTCTAGTCATAATTGCCTCTGGCTTAAGAATGGGAGTATTTTTGTGACTAGAGCTAATACATTTTATTATATAAAGGCTAAATAAAGAATTATTAAAAAAAATATAATAAATAATGAAGAAAGCAGTCAAGATTGAAATAATTATAAAATAATAGATATAACTCGCTTAAGGATTATTAAAAGCTCTAATTAATTATTGAAATTGGATAATGAGAATTTTAAGATTATAAATACTAACATATTTATTCTCCCCTTAAAAACATGGGGTTTATTTTTTAAAAACATTGTATAAAGCATTTTTATATTCCAAGAATTTGAGAATATTTTAAAGATAAGTTAATTAATAAGATTTATCTTTAATATGAAAGCTGTATACAATTTAATAGATTAGCTAGATATTTTATTATTTATTAATTTATGACTTTTTACTCGCTCATTGAGAGGAGTAAAAGATATGATTTTTTATTAAATGCTAATGATGATATGCAAATTATCTACATCTAAATTAAGTCCTTAAAGCTAAAAATACACATTCAGAGGTAGTATAATGGATGCACGCCGGAATTTCGGACCCGGAAAACTGGGATCGAAACCCAGCCTCTGACCCCTTTTGCATTTTTTATTTGGTGAGATTTTATAAATAAATTCATCTTGAATTATTAATCTTTGATATCAGAGGTAGCTCAGTTGGTAGAGCATATTGTCGTTCAGGCCGATAGGTCCCAGGTTCGAGTCCTGGCCTCTGACACCGCCTTTTCTTATTTTTTGCCTATTATTCAAAAATCCAATTTCTTTTAAAACTGTGATACTATAAATATAAACTGCTGCATTAGGTTAATAATTATTAATTACGATTATAATATGCATACATTATCAAGTGCAGACCTCGACCAATCCCTTTTCTGCTTCATTATCATTTTTGCTGTTAATTTTCCTTTAGCAATAGGGCTTGCTATATCTCTTGCTGTATGATGAGTTTTTGTGTATTTGTGTTTAATAATTTTAAGTGGCGTCTGGTCTGGTCAAATTGAAATACTTTTTATTTTTGATTCTTCGCCTGGCTTCAGTAACTTTTCTCTTATATTGTGTGCCATCATCGATAACTTAATTGGATTTCTTTTAAACCTGTAGTTCTTCCCTAGATCTTCATTCAAAATGATCATTGAATTTGAATTGATCCTACTTAGACTGATTGAAATATTAATGGATCTTGGTTTTTGTATTTCCAATTTGCCTTCGTCAATACCTTCTCCCCATTTTTCATTTTCTTCAAACCTTCCAGCTGGGCTACTAAAGACCTTTGTTATGTTTTCTAGGTCATCGGTAATGTCTGAGCTTGAGTTTCGTTTGTGGGCGAGCTGCTTTTGGATCCTATTTAATTTTGATAAGGTATCTGGACTGGCTCAAGAATTATTTGAATTATTTATTTAAATTTAAAAAATTTTTTTAAAAAGCTTTTGAAAGTAATCTGGACTCATTTGATTTTCGAAATGCCCTTTAACTTTTTTGATGTTTCTTTCTTTTTTTAAGCTTTTTAAATGCATTTGTTTAATTTTTGTGCCAAATTCTTCAAGTAAAGGCTTTGGCGAAGGGACTGGAGCAGGTAATGGCTCCTCTTCAATTATATCCGAGTTAATAAAATTCATTTAATTAAGTCTCAAAATTTGTAAGAATTAATATTGAGCATAGGATATAAAATTCAAATTTTAGATAATAAATCCATTTATAAATATTGCCATCTGCTACTTTATCACTCATTTAATAAAATTAAACGCTTATTTTCAAAAGAAATCATAATAATTCTTTTATCTATATTTTTACAAATCACTGAAATAGCTTTTAATTGGCTTATAGCCTATTGAATCTTTTGGCTAGGGCTTCCTGATCTTAATGGATGAAAAGAGTGGAATTGGCACGAACAAAGCTAATGGCAGAAATCCCATAGCAAATTGTTTCTGTCATCTGAGGAGTTGGTAAGACCAACTTCATTTTTCCTCCAAGAAAGATTGGGAAAGCTCAAGTAAAAAGAGTCTCGGACTATACCAAATCTTATTAAAACATAAAGAAAATATACCTATAATTATCAGGCACTTTCCCTTTACAGAATAGCATTAATTCGCTAACTGCCCCACTTGAAAGCAAACAAAATTTTTTGATCATCTGAAAGGGGGCTAATTAAAATATAAAAAAAAATTTATCAGACTTTCAAATTTATAAATAGTTTTAATAGGATTAGCTAAGGAGTAAGAATATTTATTGACATCATAAATTTTTAATTTGAAATATATTATATCCTAAATTAATTTCCATTTCTGCTATAATAAAATGGAATCTCCATACAAGAAACAAGTTGATTATCTCACATCAATGTTCCCTCAACTGGACGCTGAAATTATAGAATCGATTCTTGAAAGCTGTGAAGGCAGTGTCAATAAAGCAACAGATTATTTGTTAAGATTAGATGAAGAATCCTACAGTAAAAGCAGTCTATCTAATGAGCCTGATCCTCCAATTATAAACGCACCAAATCTGCCACCTCCAATCCAAGCTCCCCAGCTTAAAAAAGCTGCCTCAGAACCTCCTAAAGTTCATCAAGAGCCAAATGTTGTTTTAAACGACGATTTTTTAGAGCTTGGGGATCCCGATTCAGAAGAAGACATTCCCAATCAGGAACAAGAAGAGTATCTAGATCCGATAGAGCAAGAAAGAAAACTGCAGCAAATTATTGAAGAGTCAATCCTTGAAGCAAATAAACAAGAAAAACAGAAAAAGCCTAAAAAAACACCTTTCGGACAGAGATTTAAAGCTAAAGTTAAAAAAATTTTTGGAAAAGAAGAGAAAAAAGTTGAAGAAAACAACCAGCCTGTAAAAGCCCAAAGAGAGCCTGCTAAAGCCCAAAAAGAGTCTTTTCCTCATATCAATAATGAAATGACTGTAGAAACGATTGATGCTGATGAAGATGTGTATAGGTTTTATTCTCCAAATAACCCAGCACTTGTCAAAGGAGAGAGTTTAAATAATCAAAAGCATTAATTTACTAAACATTATAATTTTCCCAAATAATTTTTGATTTATTGACTAATATTTCGCATAAATAAAATATGGCGTCTTCGTCTGGGCATGGCCTCCGGCCATGCATACTCGACTTATATTTTATTTATATCCGGCAAGGTTTTACCAATCCAGAAAAGGACGGCAATGCTAGGTAAGCAACTCTGGTAATGTACAGAGCCTAGCCCTTAGTCCAATTTCAAGATTGGGTTTTACCTCAAGGGAAAGGAAAGTTTGGATTTGGAAAGGGCAAGTCCAGCAGAGTCTGCAGGTAACCCCCAGACCAATCGGACAACTGCCTAGCGTGAAACCGGGCGTTACGTCCCGGGATCCAGATTTCCCTTTTTGCCGATAGGACGAACAGAAATTCCATTTTTTTGGAATTTCTGGGTAGCCAACCTTGCGACACATGCAGCAGCCGCAGAAGTCCATAGTCCGCCCACTCAACACTGGACCGAAAGGGAGGAGGAGACGTCCAAGCAGAGTCTCACTTCAGAAGTGCCCTGGCATCAGGCGCTGAAGAAGAAGAAAGGTAGTGTCAGAGCTGAACACTTGCCCAGCGAACCATTACCCCAATTCGAGCAAGGCGAAGCTGAAGACGGCGCAAAGCGGATGAACTGCCCGTACGGGAGAGTCCTTGGTGACTGCGTAACCAATAAGGCAGACGCCTACCTTTAAGTTTAAGTTTAAGTTTAAGACTAATATTTCGCTTATCATTAAGCTAAAAAATTGCTCTAAGCTATTTAGATAATAAAAGATTATAACTATTTCAGATTGGCTTTATAAAAATTTTGAAAAGGGTGTCTAGACTAGACGCCTCAATATCTTTTTGAGTTAAAACATTTACCAAAGATTTAAATGTTAGTCTATTTAGCAGCAAGACTTTTTCTTCTCTGGTTGTGTTGTTGGCCGCACTATGATCGGAGGTGGAGGTGATATAGCTTTTTGTTCCCTTGCTTGTTTTTCCACTGATTTTTTGTACAATACTTCCCCAATTTTTTGAAAAACCCTAGTTATGCATTACCTCTGCAACATGTTCAGCTGTCTTGGCTGAAGCTTCTGGATTTTTCCCTATAATATAAACCATATATTTTTATTTAAAAAAATGCAAAAATTTCCTTACCCAACCTTCTGTAAAGCCATCAAGCTTATTTTCTTCTGCAAACGCTTGTGCTTGGTCAGTCTGCACTTCTCTTTCGTCTTCAGCTAGATCAAGCATATTTCCTACAAGATATATGACGACATCAGGGTCAGAATTTTGCTTAATTTCTCTAAGCCAATCATAAAGGTTTTCGTAGCTTTCTAAGCGAGTTAAATCATACATTAGAACCACTCCATGCGCGTTCCTATAAAAAGAGCGAGTAATGGCCCTAAAGGATTCTTGCCCTGCTGTGTCCCAAATTTGGAGTTTTATATTCTTTTCTTCGACTTTGAGAGTTTTAGCGCCATACTCGACTCCTATAGTAACATTGTGATCTTCCTTAAAGCCATATATACATAAAATGGCTGGTGTCGAGCGACCTGTTCTCACCATGGCTGTCCTTATACATATCTGGCACAGCTTTTGGAGCGCAAAGCTGCCGATGGATTAGGTTAGCCTTGAAAAAGAGACCCAGCACTATTTTAAACTGATTAATGCCTTGGCGACGCAGTTTTTGCAGATTTTTTGCTAACAGCGCCCAGGCACAGAATTGGTGCCCGATAGAGGCAGGGCAATTTACCTGCCTAAGCTGCTTTGTGGCCTATCCCGAACAAGCACAAGTATGCTGAATTTTTCTTTAGAAGAGAGGCTAGACAAGATTTTCAAGGGCTAGCCTCTCCAGTCTAAAAGGGTCCCGTGAAAGGGGGATCTGGCCAGAACTTATCAGTGTTGGTAAATGGTGACTCAAAGTTAGAAATGGTATTTCACGGCTAAATCCAGTGCCGGATCAAAAGGACGCGGACTCCGATAAGCTGGGGTTTTTGGCCCAGGCTTGAGTTCTTTCGACCGCCCCCCATAGCAATCGCTGTGGAATGCATGGTGCCACTGTAAGTGGGGACTTAAAGCACACTCGTCTAATCTAACCTAAACCTTAAAGTCGCCTTCAGTGAATTGCAAGAGAAAGCAAGATTTTCCAACACCAGAGTCACCAATTATGAGGAGTTTATAGAGAGCATCTGGCTGTTGATCATTTGAGGCCATTTTATTTATTTAGAGACAAAAGGTAAAGAATGCCTATTTATTGATAATTTATAATTAACTTTAAAATAAAGCTTTTATGATTATACTACTTATATCTCCACTTATGATGAAGCTAATACTCATTTATTTTTTAAGTCGATCTTTAAAGTTGCTTTAACCAAAGCCAAATAATCAAACGCTATATATAGCCGATGCATATTTTTATAAGTATGGGCTTTTTACTTATATATTGATAAAATTAGCTCTTAAAATGCTTATTGAATTCTATCGAGAAAGATAAATAATCGGTTTACTATGCTAAATCTAAAGACTATCAGCCTTTCAGCCTTTTTATTGCATTTATTTCAACAAATTTTGATATCTAATTCTAAAACACCATGTTTTCTTATCAAAATAATTTGAAGCAAATCTTCGTTTGAAGAAGTGATGTCTATAAAAGCGCGGTGAAAATACTAACTCCCCCCCCCCCTCCGTGAGCGAACAAAACCATTAGAAAAATCGCCATTTTTTGACCAAAAACCCACCCTCCGTGAGTGAACAAAAATTTTTTTAATAGAAAAAATTTTTTAATGGAAAAAAATTTTGATATATAAGTGATAATTAGTATAATGAAATCTAGAGCTAATTCTGTTTAATTTTAAACAAATTGCGTTTTAAAACATAAATTTTGCAAATTAAATTAATATTTGCTTCCCAATTTTTGCAAATTAGGATTTTTTTAAATTTCGAAAAAAATATTTTTTATAAAATTTATATATAAAAATTTTTTTTAAAAAAAAAAATTAACCCCCCTCCGTGAGCGAACAAAATTTTTTTGTTCGCTCACGGAGGGGGGGGGGGGGAGTAAATAATAATGATTAAGGTTATTAAAGAGAAAGAAGATAAAGAAAACGACAAAATCGAATACTCTGAAAAATACTATGACTCAGTTTGGGAGTACAGACAAGTCATTTTTCCGAAGAAAAAGGGCAAGGAGTTCAGGAAGAGAGGACTGCTATCAGAAGATGAATGGAGATCTGAAGGAGTCCAAATGACAAAGGGCTGGCAGCACTATGGCGCCCATCCTCCAGAGCCACATGTTCTGCTTTTCAGACGTCCAATTGGGACTGACCCACAAACCGGAATTGCAGATCCCAGACTTGCGGAGCATCAATATCGAGAGTTTGAGTACAAAAGACACATGCCAAGATTCCAAAATGTTGCTTTTTACAATAATTAAAAAACTTTGAGTATACTACAATATTTTACTATAAAAAAATTATTTGGCTTATAAAAAAATAGCCTATTTGTGCAAGCAGACATATACAAATTTAAATATTATTTTTGAAAATTTTTACAAGTGATCCCATGTGATGAGCAGCACTTCGTAGAGTATCCATGAGAAAGCAGCAGGTCGCAAGCAGAACAATTATGAAGCCTATTTTGGGCGCACTCAAAAACTAGTGTTGTATCTTTGATTTTCATTGGAGATTTTAAGCTGCCTCTTGTGGCGCTTTGTCACCTGTTGAATTTCATAGGCTTTTTTTCTTCAATTCTCTTCCTTTTAGGGGATTTTGAAACTTTTCTCATCTGTAATTTCAGCTCACTGTTTTCAGCTCTTAAAGCTTCAATTTCTTGGCAAAGTACATTTACAAGCCTTTTTGAAGTTTTTGTGTCAACGATTACTTCATCATTTTCAAGTTCTCCCTTTTCATCTGAATAATAAGACCCAAACGAGTCTTTTAGCTTTTTCGAGCTTTTTCTCAATGAATTTTCTTGCAGATTTTCTATTGACTGATTAATTTGTTCTACTGAAGCTTTTAGCTTCAAAAATTCCAGCTGCAACGAGTCATTTCTTTTTAATTCATCTTCTTTCAAAGTCCTGTCACTTTCATAGCTTTTCAAATAATCAGAGTCTTCTTCATTTTCAAAATTTTCTTCAAATTTCTTTGGTTTTTCATACAATTCTGGTGATTTAGGCGGCTCGTAAATTCCTTTGTTTACTTTTTCTGCGATTTCTCTTTTCAACCTTTCCCTTCTCCTATGTAATTTTTCGTAGTCTTTTCGAGGTTTGTCATATGACACTTCTCTTCCTATTTCATGCAAAGCGGATTGAAGTTCTTTGATCTCTCTTCTTAATTTCAAATTTTCAAGTTCTAAAAACTGAGCCATATTTAAGAATAATCTATTAGTTATTGGGCATCAACGATGACTTCTTCGTGCTCGAATTCATCTTTGATGTCAGGAATTATGCTTTTTTCATTGATTTGGCATAAATTATGTTTAATATATTTTTTTAGTCAATAGAAAATTCAATTGAATTAGCAGTTAATTTATTTTAGCAATAAATATACTTTAGGAGATTGGGCTCTGATTGATAGTAAAAGCATTAGTAAAGTTGTAGAAATCATTTTAAAACAGTATATATCAAACTCAGCTTGGTACAAGCTTTCTTTTAGCATGGTTTCTTCAGGCTGCCCATCAAATGAAAACCTTGATCGTCGATCTTGGGCATGAATTCTGTCTCTCAGCTCATGATAGCAGGACTCAAACGTTTTCTCAATCACCATTATCGATTTCAGCATATTAATCTTAGGGAAAGTCCTTAACTGTCCTTTCCTCACACATCTTTGAATGTCTTCATCCGTTGGGTTTGACAAAATATTGACATAGTCTTTAAGTGAAGGAACTGGGCGCAGGTCCAATGATCGTGCACTTTAATAGTGTGCATTTCATCGAATAATAAAATATAAGGATAAAAAAGTAACTCACTCAGTGAATTCCTTTTCCCTCACCCAACCTTTACTATTATTGAGTTAGATTTTTACATGCAAGAAGAAAAAGGTGATTAAGATAAAGATTTTATGGCCATAAGCGAACCCCACTAGCCGGACTAATTTAATTACACTGGGTGCGTATACACCAGGTGTAAATGTAAGGCCCAACCAAAATTTTACATTCTTTAATTCTCTGGAGAGACCCCCGAGCCTAAGGATTAGTTTGCTAGGTTAGAGTCTTTGTCGGGTGTCCTAATGGACGAAGACTATATGAAAGACAACCTACTTGGCAGGGACAGGAAAGAAAAAAAATCGCTCTTTAGCAAGGCATCCCCAGACCTTTAAGGCCTATTTAAAAAAAGATAGAGGCCCTGCTTTCAGCTTTATCAGGATCGGTCCTACTAATAGGAGTGCCTCAAAGACATATTTCCGTCAACGTCATCATTTATTTCTGACCAAAGTTGCTACCTCTTTCCCTTGCTGATATGAAAGGCAGGACCCTTAGGCTGTGTTCCCGTACTTTTGGCTTCCCAAATGGCTTTACGGAACTTGAAAGAGCCAAACAGACTGCTAGTCCCGACACAAGTTCGAGAGTAATGACAAGACAGAGAAAAAAATCGTTTCTCGGCAACTAGAGGCCCAACTGGAGGCAGGTAAAATTAATAAATTAAGTAAGTGCATTTCATCGAAGAAATTTTGGTCAAAACATTTTTTAATAGAGCCCAAATTGGTCAAGATTTAATAGTTCTTGATTGAATGCCTCACTATCAAAAAAAATTCCCTAGAAAATGTCATACTATCAAGAGTTCACGATCATTTGACATAGATCCAGGAACTGGCCAAATCGTCACATGGCCTCTGTACTCCTGAGTAAAAATACTCAAAAACCACGTCAAAGTGCTGCTTAAATCCAACAGATTCAACTGCTGAACTCTATGTCTGAATTCCATCATAATCAGCCTTTTAACAGCCTTAAACAGTTTGAATTTAAAGCTGTCGCCCCAAGTCCCGCCTCCGTCCTCTGGTGTCAAAAATGGTAACACCCATGGGTTTGTTTGGGAAACTATAAAAGCGTTCACATTAAACATTTCTGCAAGCTTTTGTGTTGGCAAATCTGCTTTTATAGTCCCATCAATGAATTTCAGGCCGCTTGGGTGGAAAGGGACGGTTTGGCCATTATAATCTTTACATTTAAGCTCCACGCTTTGGAATACAAAAGGAATAGCACACGATGCCAAAGCAGCGCTTCACACTAAGACGTGAGGAGCTGTTAAATAGTTCAGCAGCCGGAAGTCGTCAAAACTTCCAGACTCGCTTACAGTTATATTTAATATAATGCCTGTTGCTTCATAAGCTTCTTCAAAGGTGACTTCTCCGAGATTTGCCCTTAAAAAGACTTCAAGTGTTTTGCTGTCCATAAGGTGGCCTTGTTTGAATAGTCTTCTTATTTTTCGCTGAACTGAGCCTTTAGCAAGTCCTTCAAAAGGGCCGTATTTTAAAGCTCCTTTTCCAAACCATTTAGGAATGTCTTCTCATTTTGTAGTTCCAATAAATGAAGCGACCATGGAGCCAGCTGAAGTTCCGCATATAATTCTGGGCAGTAGTCCTTGGTCGTATAAAGCTTTGACAACTCCTAAATGGTAAAGTCCTAAGCCTCCGCCTCCGCTCATAAGGAGCGCAGTTTTTCCAAAGGCATATCTTGATGCTGAAAAAAATTTCACTTTCTCTAGAAGTGGGTATTTCGGGGAGTGCAAAACATGTCGCAAGGCATTTGAAACTTCATCTTGATACTCCACGATCAATTGTTTGGTATCTACTAGAGTTTTCGTATATAAAGTTGAATTTAAACTTCCACCTAATCCACGTAGAAGGCCTGAACGAAGGTGATGAACCAAGGCTGGAATATCATCTTGCTGCCGAAGACTGCGAATCAGTTTCAGCCGTCGACGAAGGAGCCTATAGTCATAAAGCGGGCTTTGCTCACGTTTTTTCCACTCATCCTTGCCTTCAATCCTGTCTATTTGTTCGGCAGCAGAGTGTCAGCTTTTCCAATCCCGAGCTTTTTTGAGCTGCTGCTGATACAGAATAATGTCTCCAACATCCCAAACGAGACTGATAAGTTTTCTATATAACTTATTGCTTATTTCTTTACTTACAGCATAGATTTCTTTTACTTCGTTTACGCTATCTTCAGAAATTGAAAGATTTCGTACACTTTCACATCTTATAACGAGGCTTTTAATACGTTCCACCATAATTTATTGAATTAAATGGAATATGGATGATTTTTTCAAATAAATTTACTTGGTATTTGGTGATGCAAAACTTATAATTTTTTTCATAAGTAATTAGAGGCTACTCTTTTGTTGAATATTTAATTAATATATTTGGGGGTTTTTTGATATGAAGAAAATTCTTTTCTAAATTATCTTTGGATTTTATTAAAAAATAAGGGCAATATTTATTAAAATTCAGGATGAATAAAATAAATATCTTAGTGCTTGGAATATAAGCAATTTATTAATAGAGCTAAAATTAGATTATTGATAGTGAGTAACAGGAATATCAAAAATTGTGAAATAAACACCGAATAGCTCCAAATTATTATCAATTAAAAAAAGCATATATAGTAATTATTTTTTCTAGTTCTTAATAAATTATTTTTCTATGAAAGCTATATACTTCTTAGTTCTATTATTTTGGCTATTTTATTAATTTTGGTTTTATTCATCAGAAAAATCCCATAAATTAATAGAAAATTCTCATTTCACTAAATTTGAATCATATATCTAAAGCCATTTCATTGAGTATATCTATCCTACGTATGATTACATATTAAAAATCAATCATATCATAATCAATTGAATGTTCACATTTATTGATGCTAAATTAGTTTAAAATTTAGTTTTCCTATATACCCAACATTTAGCACAATTTCTATCATTAATTATTCTATGTCTGACTCATCAGTCACTTCCATCACTGTTTCTAACGTTGTTTTATAGTAAAAATATTTGTCTTTTGATTTCTTTCTTCTGAATAGTTGATGATGGTACGCCCAAAATAAGATCATTGCGCCTAGCGCTAGTTTGGCACTCATTATAATACCAAACATAAAGATGATCGCAATCCAGACGATATCAACAATAAATCTATAATTTTCTCTGTGTTTTCTGGCTCATCTATCTTTGTTTGCGTACTTATTTCCTTCTTCAGTCCCGCTTGACCCATTGCTTAATTTAATTTTCTTTACAACCAAACGAGCATTTTTATCAGACATTCGTCCAATAAAGTAATTTTTATTACCTCGATATAATTTTTGATAATTTGTCATTATATAAATTTCAATTCTAATGGATATTATCTATTATAATTTTACCTTCAACAATAATAAATATTAACAGACTGAACTGTCCGTTTATTGCTTTAAGCAGAATAATAAATTTATAAAAATTCGCATATATACTGATCAATTAAAGAGCATTGCAAATTAATTGTAAATAACTAACACAAAGATAATAAGGGAAAATAATTATTTAACTCCCCGTGGGCGAAAAAGCCATTGGAGAATCCCTATTTTTAGGTAAAAATCCACCCTCGTGAGCAAACAAAATGTTTTTAATATAAAATTTATGAAAAAATATTTTGATAGTTAGTATAATGAAATCTCTTGCTAATTCGGTTTTATTTAAAGCATGATTTTGCAAATTAAATTTAATTTTTTACTTCTTAATTTTCCTAGTAAGGATTTTTTTAAATTTTGAAAAAAAAAATTAACCCCCTCCACAGGACAAATTTTTTGTCGCTTACAGAGGTGGGAGTAAATAAAACCTCAAAATGAAACAAAGTCATTCCAATTCAAGAATCAAAATCCGAGCAAAAAATATAGACACCTCAATTCAGAGCAGTCATAAGTATTCTTTTTCAGAAATTAACTCTCCTAATGAGTTTCAAACTCTTTCGAAGTCTTCTTCTGTAAAAGACCCATTCCTTAACATGCGCCAAGCAGGTCTTGGCGTCCCAACTCTTCGCCCCTCTTGCCCTCCCAAAAAAAGCGCCTCTAGGAACTCTATTTGCAATCTCCCAGCACCCAAGATGTCGCTGCCTTCCAAGCTTAAATTAAATATCCAGTCCCCGTGCCTTTCTTCCAGGACCCCAAATAAACCAAAAATTGCATTAAGCCGGAATAACTCAGCTTATGATCTTTTGGCTCCTATAATAGAAACTTCCTCAAGAAAGAGCCTAATTCCTTTCTCCCCGAAAACAAAAATAAGAATACCGAATATGGAAAAAGATTTATTATTAAAATCCCAAAGGAACTGCGAAGGAATGACAAGGCGAGATTTAAAGACACCGAATTTCAATACAAACGCATACCAAAAACATTGTAATACAAGCGAGTCTGAATCGTATGGCAGCGAAAGCACAGTACTTCCACAAAGTGGAGAAATTTCGATATATGAAGGAGGAGTGGAGAGAAGTGAGAGTAATGCGGACGCGTATGAAAGAATTAAAAAATTAATGACGGAAAATGAAAAGGGGGAAGAAGAAAGCCCGTATGATGTTTCGTTTGGGATGTTTGAGAATAGCTCGAGTAGGAAAAGAAGACTGTGACGGCAGAGTAGCATGGCGAGTTCAAGGAAATAATGTGCTGATAAATCTGAAATTTTAGATAGAAGATTATATTTATCGATATAATAATGTTTTCTTGAATAGTTGTGATTAAATATATATATATGTGTTATTATTAATTTTTGGTTATTGATTATTAGATAATTTAAAAATAAACTGACTGTTTTTAGCCTGTGGGTTTTAGAAGTGACGATGTGAAAACTAAGCGGTTTTCTATCTCTGTTAATTAGCACGTGGCATCTTATTGTCTCCTATATAGTCAGATCCAATCTGAAACTAAAATTTTAAGTGCTGGGGGCTTGAGTTGCAGAAAGAAAGATTTCTTTAAATTAAGCTACTAATTGAAATTTTAATTAAATATAATCTGGAGAATAATGAAAAAATATACTTAATTTAACTTTATATTAATATCATCTTAATTCCCATTCACTTTCTCCATAATATTGTTCTCTTATTTAATTATATTGTTTTCCCTCTTTATTCAAAGCTTAAATCGGTTTTTCTTACCTATTAATTTGAATTTTAACAATATTTCCATATGTTTACGAATAAAATTTTAATACTTTAATTTTTAAATTTTCCTCAATATTCAATGGTTTTGTCTGCAAGCATTTTCCTATGTTTCCATTTACTCAAAAAAATAAATAATTAATCTGCAATCCATGTCGAGACGCCTTTCTAACAAAAGATCTACCCGAGACCGAAGCAAATGCCCAGATGTAAGAATTATTGAAGCTGCCGTTTCAAAGCCAATTCAAATCCTTTTGCTACAAATCGATATTAAAGAAAAGGAACTAGAAAAAAATTTCGAATTAAAAACTATTCATGAGCTTATAGCTTTATATTCCAAAGCTATAGAAAGTTTTGAAATTAACGAAGATTTAAGATTCCATGAAATTCAGGAACGAATGCATAAGATGCTGCAGAAGCCTCAGGTTACCCAAGCTTTAAATCCTCAAAAATACACTAAAAAACCCCCAAGGCCAAAGCCGAAATTAGAAATTGAAATTTTAGAAGAAGACGACCCAGATATCATACAAAAGCGAATAAATTCTGAAAGAAACAGAAAAATCATTGACCAAGGGCTGATAAGGGATTTAGAAGCCATAATGGACCGAAGTTTGAATGAAAAAGTAAATAAAATTTCAGAAATAAAAATTGCATATGAAGTACAAATGAGAGAATTAGAAGGACAAGGCGAAATTGAAGGCCAGCAAGGCCTAATTGTAAAAGTTATGGAACAAATGAAATATGATATGGACGAAGAAATCGAAAAAGTAAGCCAAGAGCTTGACTTGAAAAGACAAGAAGAAATTCGAAAACTGCGAGAAGAGTATGTTAAAATTAACATGTAAATTTATAATGGTAAACTGTTATAAAACATAGTGAGCTTGGGCTCTAGTTCTTCTAAAGACATTTCAAAGCTGTTTTTACAAAGAGCTTGGATATTAGGCGACTTTAATAATTTCTCCTTTGATATTTCTAGTATTTCTGTCCTATAAATATCATAGTTTTCCTCAACGTTTTCTTTATCATCTTTTGATGTATTTATATATTCTCGGCTTGTTTTACAAATTTTAGGGATTGGCCCTGCAAATGAGTTTTCAAGACTCATAGCTTTGCTATGCTTTAAAGGTTTAGGGATAGGCTGGATGTAAATAAGCCGATCTGATTTTGGATTTTCAAATGATTTTTTGTGAAGAATTTCTTTGAGATTTAGCCTTAGGGTTGGTTTTGACTCTTGGGAAGTGCTTCTCATGGTCTGTGAAGACTTAGGTTTTTGCTTGAAGCTATGGGAGATTGGTAATTTTTGTAAGCGAGGATATGAAGGGATTGCTGTTGAGAATGGATGATTACTGTTAGTGTGAGATAGAACTGATGGTTTTGATGTTTGAGGTTTTGGAAGCTTTTCAAGAAGGGATTTCGACATTGTGTGGCCAACTTTAGATTTAAATCGACAAATAATTCGTTTTGCGTTGGCGTTAAGATGATCTTGATAGGTCTTTTTCAGCCGAGGCTCCATTTTACATTAGAAGTTAGAAATGGTATCCAGTTTTTGTCATAGGCTTTAGGTAAAATTAGGATAGCTGCATATAATTTAACGATAATTGCCTTATTTTCATATTTTTGTATTGCTATAAATTGAATAGTAATATAAGAGTTTATAATCCTAAGAGCTGAAATATCTCTTTATCAGTATAGACGTATCTTAAATATTTAGAAAATATAAAATTCTACTTGCAAAGATTTTCTGAAGGATATCAGGTTTTTCAAAATAGAAATTTTCTTATATTAATTTTGACTTCCTTATTTAAATATAAAAATCGATATTTTATTAAACACTTTTAAGCTGGTGGGATTTCGAAGTGGTATATTCATTTAAAATCCCTTTTTAAATAATTTAAAAATTTTTATATTCTACTTCTCTTATTCTTAAGCCTTTATTTCCCAACATATAATAACTATAGAAAACTTGAATTGCCGCTTTTTCTAATTTTCCGAGCTCTGTTAAGCTTTTCTTCTTTATAAATATCACCCACTTTAATCTCTAACGGTCTCATTAATCGCATTAACTTCTGCACTTATTTTCCAAAGTAATCTCAGCTTCTTCCTGTATATTTCTCTGAATTTCGTAATTAAAAGCTATCGTTATAATCAAATTATCCATTTCAGCTCTAAACTAATATGAACAAGAAAAACTTCACAAAACTTCTATTTGAATCTCCTTCAGTCTTTAACGGTGAAGAAAAAGAACTGCAGCGCAGCGACTTCGATTTTGAGAGAAAATTAGGCGACGGAGCATTTGGACAAGTTTGAAGAATAAAGCAATAGAGTTTACTTAGATTCTTTGAAAACTCATTGAAATGCCAAAAGGTCTACTTCCTTCCCTAAAACGTCCCAGATTTGTGTATCATAATATCTCGAAGATTTTTCCTGCAGAACGAGAGCCTGCATCTCAACTCCAGGGGAAAATGGAAATTTGAAGCCCCGAGTTTTGCACTAGGAAACATTCTGGGACTTACTTCTGGCACCCTTCAGAACTTCGGCTCTGGTTTCCCATGAAACAAAAACTTAATACGGATTAAGCTTGGGCTGATCAGCTCCACCGCCAAAAGAACCTTGCCAAATACAGTTTCTGGGAGCTATCCTCCGTTCTTCGAGGTCTCCAGCACTGTGTGGGGTATAGACTATAGGAGCTAAGACGTTGGCTTGATTGATCCCGCCATTTTAATATATATGACGAATAAAGCATAAAGCCACTAACAAATTATATGCGCTTAAACAAGTCCCAAAACAAAACGTAGCCAAAATGATTCCCCAATTCAAAAGAGAGCTTCTAATCATGTACGAATTAAATCACCCTCATATAATAAAGCTATACAATCATTTTGAGGACGAAAAGAACTTTTTCCTAATAATGGAGCTGGCAGAGGGTGGGAATTTATATCATAGATTATATAGAGAAAGAAACTTTTTAGAAAAAGTCGCTGCTCAGTATTTTAGAGAAGTATTATTAGCTGTTGAATACTTGCACATGCACGTGCCTGCCATAATACACCGCGATATAAAGCCAGAGAATATCCTTTTAGATAAAGATGGCCGAATAAAACTTACAGATTTTGGATGGTCGAATTATTATTCAACAGACACAAATGCGCCAAGATTTACCACGTGTGGGACTCTAGAGTATTTGCCACCTGAAATGGTGCAGGAAACTGGGCATAGCACTGCGGCTGATATATGGTGTTTAGGAGTTCTGTTATATGAGATGCTGACTGGGACTACTCCTTTTAGAACTCCAGCAAAAGACCAAATGCTGAATAATATTGTTAACGCAAAAGTGAAATTTCCTTTGAATTTTCCACCTTTAGCTAAAGAGCTGGTAACCAAAATGCTTGAAAAAAATCCAGCTGACCGAATTACAGCGACTGAAACTAAAAATGATAGATGGCTAACTGAGATTCCCCCAATAAGAGAAACTATGGTACAAGAGCCAGTATTAAAAAGCCTTAAAAGCATTATGGGGCCAGAAGTGGTGACGGAAGGATATAAAGTCATTAATGAAGAGCCGCCAAATGAAAATAAAGAGCCAATTTTTAGTAGTGAAGATAATGCTACCATAACAACAGCAGCAACTGAGTCAGAGGCTAAAGAAGAAGCCAAAGAGGAGGAAAAAGAAGAACCAAAATATAATACAACGCCTTTTAAACAGAATATTAAAAAACTGCAGAAAAAAATCTCTCTTAAGGTAGAAGAAACCATAAAAACAAAAGCAAGCATACGAGAAAGCTTGCAAGGAATAGCAACTTTTAACCAAAAAGTTAAAGAATTAGAGGAAAAAATCACTGAAAAACGAAAAGAGCTAGCCACGCTATTTTCAGCTGAAAAAGAAATGCTGCTAAAGCTGTCTGACATCAATTTCGAGCTTGAGAGAATCCAAAGCTCGAATGAAACTGCAATTTTACTAGAAAAAATAACAAACATGCAAAAAGATTTAATGGAAAAAACAGCTGAAGTCAAAGTTTATAAGAAAAATCTGGAAAATATCAGAACTGATGTCAAACAAAAAACCATGGACATTAACGAAAGAGACAAAAACCTATCATCACTACAGCTTTATTTGAAAAAAATAAAAGACGAAATTTTACAGTCAAAATACAATAAACGATCTGAGCTTTCTGAGCTTGAAATTAATGCTGAAATTTTGAAATCCCAGCTAGAACAAAAAGACAGGTATTACTCTGACCCATCTAATGGCAGCTATTTTTCCAGCAAAGAAATGATGGATTATGTACAAAAAAGATTGGATGAGCTTAAATGCTACAAGCGAGACCAACTGAAAAAGAAAATTGATGAAGCCCATGAGTTTCAGTTAGACAAAGAGCAAGAATTAGCTGAAATGAAAATTGAATACGAAGACAAAAAAGCAGAAATAATCCAAAATAACAGGAAAATACGTGAAGAAGCTATAAGAAAAATTAAAAAAAGAAATGAGGACAGCCTCTCCAAAAGGAAAAATTTTAAGGAAGAAATTCGGAATAAATTGATCCAAAAATTAAATGAATTCAGAAATGCAGAAAGCCAATACTATATAGACCCTATAGAAATAGACAAACACAAAAAACGATTAAGAGTAAATGCTATATAGAGAAGAACCAAAAGGCTTGAAAGGCTTTATAGTGAAATGAGCCAAATAAGGACTGAGCGAGAAATGATGAAAGAAGTCCTTTCTTTAAAAAAGCGAGAAGTAGAGGACCTCGAAATGGAAATAGGGACAGCAAAAATAAAGCTTTTAGGCAAACAGTTTTTTTAAAAATGAGTGTAAATAAGTAGAATTAATAAAAAAATTTTATGATGGAAAATGCATTAGTTGCTGAAGTCCATATCATCACAAGAGAGTATTCTACCTCAAGATCAAATAAAAATAAATGAAGAGTTTTTAGGAAAACTGCAACCCCGCCTCCTACAAGTATTATTGACTACCAGCCCACCAGCGGAGAGGATATGCTTGCAATTATTTATCAGAAGAAGCTAGATGTAGTGGACGGTTATTTATTTAGTCATCTCTATAAGAGATTGATGCTAAAAAGAAACGAAGTTTTGTTCAAAACTTTCCTAAGTTTATGGAATTTAATCAACCCTATTAAGATGCCAGGAATCTCGAAAAAAGTTTATTTTAGTTTATATGAAATCATATATGTTGAGATATTGAATGCCTCCACAGAAGAACAGTCAGTAAAATCAATGGTTTTAACTGATATGAAAATTGATTTTGGAGACTCTGAATGCTTAGGGTTATCTGATTTCTATGATGGATTCTTTGAGTGCCTAGACACATTTACTAGAAGCACTTTAGTAATAGAGTACGTCAGAGTTTTAAAGCAGATCCATGGGCACCTGCTAAAATCACAGTGGTTTAACCAGCTGAATTTATCTGGAAGACTTCATTATAAAGAAGGAGCGAAACCTCAATATTCTCCTTGGATGATACAATATTTTAAGCCAGAAGAATCATTATTTCATAAATCTTCTGCCAGAAGTATTCCTTCTCTATTTAAAGCACCTATTGGAAGCGTCAGAATATCTGAAAGACTTTTGAAAGGGAGCGTATTTTCAAGAGAAAAATCCAGTGGGGATATTTTATCTAAAAAAATAGAAATGCTGATAAACCCGAAAGAAAGCAGAAATCTGAGAAGCTCTAATAAGCCGAGGACAGCTGGGCAAAATTCATTTGGAAATTCAAGCTTCAAGCCTAAAAATAGAAGACTAAGAAGTATTGAAATTGACCATTTGGATGTGGTTAGCCCTTTATCAATTGCAATAAAGAAATCGCGAAAAAATAGCTCCTTATTGGAAGAAATAATTGAAGGAAGGCGAAATTATTTTAGAAGAGTATCAAGTCAATCTCAATTGAGTGATTAATTCTTCATATTTTTGAAATTCATACTATAATTTATTTTAAAATTACTAATATAATTACAACAAAATTATAAATTATATCAACAGGAAAACGATAACCAATATATTTAGAATAATTAATTTCATAATTAGAACAGTGAGAATTAAGAGTTTAAAAATTTTCTCTAAATAAAAAAACTAGATTAATTTAATACATGTAGAAGGTGTCCATTATAAGATAGATAGATTATACAGCGATATAATAGAATCTTAACTTGATCTTAAATTGTAGCAAATAAGTCTAGGATAAAATCCAATTGTGAGGATAATAAACCCAAACGTCAAACAGCCAAGTACCAATGAAGCTTCTTGTACGCGCTCACTGCAATTGCTTTTTATACATTCATCTGTAGCTTGAACTACAAAGACTCCAAAGAAATTATACCCTAAAACTCCAGCGAAATAAATATCTTTATACATTGTCAAAAATATCACTCCAAGAACAAATGCAAAAGCCATTACAATTATTGTTCACTCATCAAAATCCAGCCCAAACAGCTCTCTGTTGTCTATTTTTTTGACCTTAATTATAGTCATCAATACTGATCTACACAGTTCTACGAGGACAAAAGAAACTAAAACAGAAAATTGTAAATGAATTCCTATGTACTCAATCCAAGAAACTCTATATCTTCCATCTTCTTCGTATTTCACTTTTCAATATATATAAAACACAAAAACAGCGATCAAGAATAGCAAAATATCATTAACTATTATATATGATAGCTCATTATCATAAAATTGCTTCGAAAAAAAATAAATCCCCAAAAATGCACACACAGGAAAATGATAAAATTTTAATTTTTCAGTCAAAAATGATATTGAGTTTTCAGTCTTTTTAAAAAGCACAGGGAGTAGAAATACTGATAATGACAGTATAAAAACCCAGAGCGAAAACTCAAATCAGTCATCAAGAGTAAAAGGCGTCTCATATGTTGAAGAAATGTCTGTTCCAAAGTCAGTGAGATATTCACCAGCAATAAATCCACTTATTTCCAAAAATATGCCAAAAATGTTTAATGTTCTTACTCTAAGCGAGGAGGAATTATTTTTTTTTAAAATTAAATAAAATTGATTTTTTTAATTTCAAAAAATCTCGAATATACATATATTAAAGTTAAATTTAAATTAGCTTCATCTGAATTTTAAATTAGCTAGAATTTTTATCAATTAGCAGTTATTGCATATATATCTATATATATTCATATTAATAGAATTGCATGTGCAATATTTATTGCTTTTTGATATGGTTAGTTTTCCTAATCGCTCATAAGCGGGAGAGTTAGAAACATTATACGTCTCTTCATAAAATTTCTATAGAGCCATCCACCTGGCATATTCTCAATTGATGAGCTTGCCAGGATTAATCGTTCTTGTGAGTTAAGTAAGGATCTTCTTGATGTGTAGCCGTTCCTTATTGGAAGATAATTCGAGTCATTTTGAGAAATCAATACAGGCTCTTCCTCTGTTGATTCCATTTATGCTTAAATTTTACAGTCACATATATTAATTAATCAAACTAGATGAATTTTTAAAATATACTTATTTATAATAAAAATTCACCGCTGATCACTATATTTATATTTATTATAAATTAGAGGCTGTTAGAATCAATACTTCTATTCATTTTAAATGTATATATTTTAAAGCTGATATTGCAAAATAATGATATTCTGCCTTTATAAATATTAAGTAAATTTGCTTGAATATTAAGAATTTTCAGTTGGCTTTACCATAAGGAAATTAAATTTTATAAAAATTAAGTCACTTTTATATAATTATTAGAAGATGGACGAGTATGAAATGGAAAGAAAAATCAGCGATGCTTTTCTCACATTGAAAAATACAGTTAAAAAAGCACTAAACGATATTAAAGGTGATGAAGATCTTCAGCAATTTGAAAAAACAAGTCAAAAATTAGCATCTGAAATAAACAGCATTAAGAATCTTATCAAAGAAGTCAATGATTCAGTCCCAGAAAAAGATATTTTGACCCAAAAACTAGAAATCCTTAGAAAAAGAAAACAGGAACAAGAAAACCTTATAAGAAGCCTTACTATGGTCACAAATGGAGAAGCAAGCTCTCCAATGGACTTAGACCGTGGTATTTAATTTAATCAATCATCTCAAGAATAATTACAGACAATGCAAATCATTTGAATATATAGCCTAACTAATTTCGTATTTTCAAAAATGATTTAATTGCCCAAACATCAATACTGATTTTTTATCTCATTTGTTGGATTTTCATATCCATCATATATAGGGAATTCCCTAGAATCGTAGGTGATTTGAGAAGAAAACTCTTTAGTTGGTTTGACCAACCTGAGCAAGTCAAGGCTAGTGTATAATTCCTTTCTAACCGCCTGCCCGGCGATTCTAGGGAATTCTCTATATATATTAATGCGTAAATTCGGAAGCATTAAAATAAATTTCAACATTAAATGGGTGATGATAAATGCAAAGAGCTTCGTGCAGCATATGACCAATGTTTTCAAATATGACTGGATACTGAATATTTCGCTGGAAAAGTCAAAGGGCCAATGGTTCCTTGCGAAGAGCAGCTAAAAGTGTATCATGAGTGCCTCAAGACAGATAAACACAGAGGAAAATTCCTGATAGACTTAGAAAAGTATAAGCAAGAATACCCAATGCATGAAGCAGCCCCTACGTCACAAAATAAATAACATTTCCTTATAATCATAACTTTGAAAAATGTAGGGAATAGGCAGTTCATTAGACCCAGTTAGTAACTCTGAGAGCCGATAGTTAGGTCTATTTTTTTCTCAGCCCCTATTAATAATAATAATTACGATTTATCATCCGTTTATATCTGACCAAATTTATCCCCTAAAGCCTCTATTGATAATCTACCATAGATTACCGAGCCAACCTTCATACGAGCTGGAGGAATATAACAAATTATGATTAAAGGCCAGACGATAAATCCCATGGCTTTAATAAATAATTAATTAGCTATAATCATAATATAATACCTTGTTTTTTAACTCCATATTCAAAAGATTATAGCAGAATACCTATAACAATGGGGAACATGCACAGAGGACCTTCAAAAAATGATAAGCGGGTAGTTTATATTCAGATTTATGAATTAGTTGAAGCCATCAGAAAAAAACAGTCCATCAGACTTAACGAGGCTGACTTAAACCTGGAGATAGAAACTGTATAAAATAATCAGAACAAATGGACTCTTCTCCATTTAGCTGTTTGATTCAATAACCAAGTCTTTGCGGAAGAATTGATTACTGCAGGCTGTGATATTAATGTTCTTGATGCTGTAAGCATAAATTAGCATAATGAATCACCTTTAAAATTAGCAATTTTTCTAAAGAATGAAGAAATGAAGAAGCTGCTGATGCAGCATGGAGCTATTGAAACCATTGGAAATTCAGTGCAGTCAGAAAAACAAGCTTGAAATAACTTTGAAAGTGTTTTTAGTGAAGAATCTCCAGAAAAGCCACCTATGACTGTAAAATTTATAAAGGCAGCGGTTTATGTTGGATTGAACAAAAAAGTCAGGGAGGAAGAAGAGGAAGAAGATAGTAGTGATGAGGCTTTACGAAATAAAACCTCTGATAAGAAAAGCAATTTTATTAATAGCTAATCACTTATGAATAAGAGCTGTTAAAAAAAGAAAACGTTTAAAATTTCAATTGTGTAACCTATGGAGAAAATGGAATAAGGCTAATTAATGTTTTTATGTATTTTTACCTTTTAATTAGTATTTAGTATTTTTATAGCAGATTTCTTGATATTCCAAAACTTTTTGCTGACTTCCTCTTTAACTTGGAAATTGCAAAAAGGTATTCTAAAATTTTTGTTTTTCGTGCTTTTAAGAGAGCATATATTTTGCTTTAGACCGGCTTCTGTACAACTAGTAAGAGAAATTTTATTCTCAACACAAAAATATTGCTGACTATAAATCAATTTTAAACGATAATATAGACTAGCTGATGAGAGGCAGAGCAATTTATAATATAATTAATAAAAGGAATTTGGAAAAAAGCAATTTTTATAAATTGTGCCAGAAATTTAGCATTTTAATTTTCTTTGTGATAAATTCAGAATTTTACTATAAAAAGTAAAAATTCCAATTCAATAGTTATATTTGATTATAATTGGGTGTTAGGGTGTTAGGGTGTTAGGGTGTTTAGGGTGTTAGGGTGTTAGGGTGTTAGGGTGTTAGGGTGTTAGGGTGTTAGGGTGTTAGGGTGTTAGGGTGTTAGGGTGTTAGGGTGTTAGGGTGTTAGGGTGTTAGGGTGTTAGGGTGTTAGGGTGTTAGGGTGTTAGGGTGTTAGGGTGTTAGGGTGTTAGGGTGTTAGGGTGTTAGGGTGTTAGGGTGTTAGGGTGTTAGGGTGTTAGGGGTGTTAGGGTGTTAGGGTGTTAGGGTGTTAGGGTGTTAGGGTGTTAGGGTGTTAGGGTGTTAGGGTGTTAGGGTGTTAGGGTGTTAGGGTGTTAGGGTGTTAGGGTGTTAGGGTGTTAGGGTGTTAGGGTGTTAGGGTGTTAGGGTGTTAGGGTGTTAGGGTGTTAGGGTGTTAGGGTGTTAGGGTGTTAGGGTGTTAGGGTGTTAGGGTGTTAGGGTGTTAGGGTGTTAGGGTGTTAGGGTGTTAGGGTGTTAGGGTGTTAGGGTGTTAGGGTGTTAGGGTGTTAGGGTGTTAGGGTGTTAGGGTGTTAGGGTGTTAGGGTGTTAGGGTGTTAGGGTGTTAGGGTGTTAGGGTGTTAGGGTGTTAGGGTGTTAGGGTGTTAGGGTGTTAGGGTGTTAGGGTGTTAGGGTGTTAGGGTGTTAGGGTGTTAGGGTGTTAGGTGTTAGGGTGTTAGGGTGTTAGGGTGTTAGGGTGTTAGGGTGTTAGGGTGTTAGGGTGTTAGGGTGTTAGGGTGTTAGGGTGTTAGGGTGTTAGGGTGTTAGGGTGTTAGGGTGTTAGGGTGTTAGGGTGTTAGGGTGTTAGGGTGTTAGGGTGTTAGGGTGTTAGGGTGTTAGGGTGTTAGGGTGTTAGGGTGTTAGGGTGTTAGGGTGTTAGGGTGTTAGGGTGTTAGGGTGTTAGGGTGTTAGGGTGTTAGGGTGTTAGGGTGTTAGGGTGTTAGGGTGTTAGGGTGTTAGGGTGTTAGGGTGTTAGGGTGTTAGGGTGTTAGGGTGTTAGGGTGTTAGGGTGTTAGGGTGTTAGGGTGTTAGGGTGTTAGGGTGTTAGGGTGTTAGGGTGTTAGGGTGTTAGGGTGTTAGGGTGTTAGGGTGTTAGGGGTTAGGTGTTAGGGTGTTAGGGTGTTAGGGTGTTAGGGTGTTAGGGTGTTAGGGTGTTAGGTGTTAGGGTGTTAGGGTGTTAGGGTGTTAGGGTGTTAGGGTGTTAGGGTGTTAGGGTGTTAGGGTGTTAGGGTGTTAGGGTGTTAGGGTGTTAGGGTGTTAGGGTGTTAGGGTGTTAGGGTGTTAGGGTGTTAGGGTGTTAGGGTGTTAGGGTGTTAGGGTGTTAGGGTGTTAGGGTGTTAGGGTGTTAGGGTGTTAGGGTGTTAGGGTGTTAGGGTGTTAGGGTGTTAGGGTGTTAGGGTGTTAGGGTGTTAGGGTGTTAGGGTGTTAGGGTGTTAGGGTGTTAGGGGTGTTAGGGTGTTAGGGTGTTAGGGTGTTAGGGTGTTAGGGTGTTAGGGTGTTAGGGTGTTAGGGTGTTAGGGTGTTAGGGTGTTAGGGTGTTAGGGTGTTAGGGTGTTAGGGTGTTAGGGTGTTAGGGTGTTAGGGTGTTAGGGTGTTAGGGTGTTAGGGTGTTAGGGTGTTAGGGTGTTAGGGTGTTAGGGTGTTAGGGTGTTAGGGTGTTAGGGTGTTAGGGTGTTAGGGTGTTAGGGTGTAGGGTGTTAGGGTGTTAGGGTGTTAGGGTGGTTAGGGTGTTAGGGGTGTTAGGGTGTTAGGGTGTTGGGTGTTAGGGTGTTAGGGTGTTAGGGTGTTAGGGTGTTAGGGTGTTAGGGTGTTAGGGTGTTAGGGTGTTAGGGTGTTAGGGTGTTAGGGTGTTAGGGTGTTTGGGTGTTAGGGTGTTAGGGTGTTAGGGTGTTAGGGTGTTAGGGTGGTGTTAGGGTGTTAGGGTGTTAGGGTGTTAGGGTGTTAGGGTGTTAGGGTGTTAGGGTGTTAGGGTGTTAGGGTGTTAGGGTGTTAGGGTGTTAGGGTGTTAGGGTGTTAGGGTGTTAGGGTGTTAGGGTGTTAGGGTGTTAGGGTGTTAGGGTGTTAGGGGTGTTAGGGTGTTAGGGTGTTAGGGTGTTAGGGTGTTAGGGTGTTAGGGTGTTAGGGTGTTAGGGTGTTAGGGTGTTAGGGTGTTAGGGTGTTAGGGTGTTAGGGTGTTAGGGTGTTAGGGTGTTAGGGTGTTAGGGTGTTAGGGTGTTAGGGTGTTAGGGTGTTAGGGTGTTAGGGTGTTAGGGTGTTAGGGTGTTAGGGTGTTAGGGTGTTAGGGTGTTAGGGTGTTAGGGTGTTAGGGTGTTAGGGTGTTAGGGTGTTAGGGTGTTAGGGTGTTAGGGTGTTAGGGTGTTAGGGTGTTAGGGTGTTAGGGTGTTAGGGTGTTTGGGTGTTAGGGTGTTAGGGTGTTAGGGTGTTAGGGTGTTAGGGTGTTAGGGTGTTAGGGTGTTAGGGTGTTAGGGTGTTAGGGTGTTAGGGTGTTAGGGTGTTAGGGTGTTAGGGTGTTAGGGTGTTAGGGTGTTAGGGTGGTTAGGGTGTTAGGGTGTTAGGGTGTTAGGGTGTTAGGGTGTTAGGGTGTTAGGGTGTGGGTGTTAGGGTGTTAGGGTGTGGGTGTAGGGTGTTAGGGTGTTAGGGTGTTAGGGGGGTGGGTGTAGGGTGTTAGGGTGTTAGGGTGTTAGGGTGTTAGGGTGTTAGGGTGTTAGGGGTGTTAGGGTGTTAGGGGTGTTAGGGTGTTAGGGTGTTAGGGGTGTTAGGGTGTTAGGGTGTTAGGGTGTTAGGGTGTTAGGGTGTTAGGGTGTTAGGGTGTTAGGGTGTTAGGGTGTTAGGGTGTTAGGGTGTTAGGGTGTTTGGGTGTTAGGGGGTGTTAGGGTGTTAGGGTGTTAGGGTGTTAGGGTGTTAGGGTGTTAGGGTGTTAGGGTGTTAGGGTGTTAGGGTGTTAGGGGGGTGTTAGGGTGTTAGGGTGTGGGGTGTTAGGGTGTTAGGGTGTAGGGTGTTAGGGTGTTAGGGTGTTAGGGTGTTAGGGTGTTAGGGTGTTAGGGTGTTAGGGTGTTAGGGTGTTAGGGGTGTTAGGGTGTTAGGGTGTTAGGGTGTTAGGGTGTTAGGGTGTTAGGGTGTTAGGGTGGTGTTAGGGTGTTAGGGTGTTAGGGTGTTAGGGTGTTAGGGTGTTAGGGTGTTAGGGTGTTAGGGTGTTAGGGTGTTAGGGTGTTAGGGTGTTAGGGTGTTAGGGTGTTAGGGGTGTTAGGGTGTTAGGGTGTTAGGGTGTTAGGGTGTTAGGGTGTTAGGGTGTAGGGTGTTAGGGTGTTAGGGTGTTAGGGTGTTAGGGTGTTAGGGTGTTAGGGTGTTAGGGTGTTAGGGTGTTAGGGTGTTAGGGTGTTAGGGTGTTAGGGTGTTAGGGTGTTAGGGTGTTAGGGTGTTAGGGTGTTAGGGGTGTGGTGTTAGGGTGTTAGGGTGTTAGGGTGTTAGGGTGTTAGGGTGTTGGGTGTTAGGGTGTTAGGGTGTTAGGGTGTTAGGGTGTTAGGGTGTTAGGGTGTTAGGGTGTTAGGGTGTTAGGGTGTGGGTGTTAGGGTGTTAGGGTGTTAGGGTGTTAGGGTGTTAGGGTGTTAGGGTGTTAGGGTTAGGGTGTTAGGGTGTTAGGGTGTTAGGGTGTTAGGGTTAGGGTGTTAGGGTGTTAGGGTGTTAGGGTGTTAGGGTGTTAGGGTGTTAGGGTGTTAGGGTGTTAGGGTGTTAGGGTGTTAGGGTGTTAGGGTGTTAGGGTGTTAGGGGTGTTAGGGTGTTAGGGTGTGGTGAGGGTGTTAGGGTGTAGGGTGTTAGGTGTTTAGGGTGTTAGGGTTGTTAGGGTGTTAGGGTGGTGTAA